CTATACAATTACTGTCGAACAATTGGTTTTGCGCAAACGTTATACGACACAAGTCGGCTTGTGCACACTTGCATATGTACGAACGAACGCATGCACAAGCGATCGCGCAAGCGCGTAATTGATGTGTATGACAAAAGAAGTTGATTTGGGAATCGATGATTACTATATATAGAGATTTACGTGAGCATGTATGTATAAATACATATATGGCATAGTTTTATTGTTTCGTTTCGTTTTATGGATCGTGAAAGAAAAAAAAAACAAACATGTTTGATTTCCAATTCATTTAATTTATTTTATAGAATGGATCGATCGTTGAACTATAACTAGCCTCGTAAACGCGTACTTAACTAATTATAGTTCAAATGATGATTAGCTAAGAAAAAAATGAAAACTTATCACTTCAAGTAACATTTATAAGATATACAATGAACGATATAGTGTATGCGACACATATACAAAGATATACGAACAATTACGAGAATTTATTAACAAATGGGATCATTTTTTAATTAATATCATGAAGACTGACTGCCAGAGTAATTTAGGTTCAATTTGAAGCAATTGGTGTAATTACTACTCAAGTATTATTTTTATAATTTTTTTCTAACTTGCTGTTTGAAATAGTCTCTTACTTTACTGATGTTGTGCACTATCTAGATGCTATTTAGATCATTTGGTTGGAAAAAATGATGATTTTTTTCTTTGGAACCGTTTTCTAAATGCAGCTGACATAGTTATCCATATCTTGTGGTGAATATTATCATAAACAATTGAAACAAACACTATATTTTTTTTTATTCATAATTATTTTTTGCTTTTGTTTCATCTCTAAATAAATTTTGTTCGTAAATTAATTATACTACGCGTTTTTGATGATACGAATAATCAATCCTATAAAAATTTGCTAAAAGCTTACTAATCTAACGCCACTATTCCTATACGATCGATGCAAGAATAGAAAGGAAATGATTCCATTCTCGATATTTGTCTACATTTAAATACATTTTACAATGTGATGCAAACTCTGACGTACATTATTATCTCAAAGAAAGAATGAGAGTAGAGATCCATCATGTCGTATCGATTTCGCAATCGAATCCGGTGCGTTTCGATTTTTAATGGATAACGTCGGCTAGGCAAATCCATTGGGGTCCCATGCGGCGATGTGCAGTACGCGCGCACGACGCCACTTGTTCCCTTGTGTAATACACATGCGAGTGCACTACCAGGCGCCACGTCACGCGACGTCACGTGTGCCAAGCCGATTGTCCACGTCGCGTGATCCATAAATAAGAGGCAGTGCGTCGCCGTTGAGATTTAACGAATGAAGCCGCGGCATTGCGTCAGCGAGGCGCGCGCAAACCCGAAGGAAGCACGGAGAAGAAAAGTAAGCGAGACGCCTCGAACGTCCTTTAATCTTTCCTCGTGACTGCTAAAATTATCATTGTTCTTTTCGAAAAAAGGTCATTGTTATGAATGCATCATTCCCAGAGCTACTAGTATCAAGCTGAACATTTTCTGGCAAGTGACAAATAATTTTAGTTTTTTTCAAAAGTCGGGTCACCGGAATAAATGAAATGTCGTTCGTCAAATGGTTGCAAGTACATAAGAACGATGCGTATGGGAATGCAAGTGTACGAAATCAACATCTTTAAAAATTTCATTGATTAATAATTCTTTATCCACGGTACTACGAGTAGCGAAGAGGGAAGATTACTAGCATGATGCATTAAACTCGATCACATTATACGAAACCGCCTCTGTCTACAAAGTTTTTGCTGTGAAATTTTTCATGTTGTATTTAAAAATGGTAAATCTAATTCTGCAATAATTAATTTACAAGATGTCAATATACATATATTGATTTACTTATACTACAGTTTTATTTCTAATAATAATAAGGTACAAATAAACAATTCAAATGTAAAAACCTTTATTGTATTTGTTAAAATATCACGTAATTTTTACTTTTTCAGACAAATATGTCGCTAATTTATTTTTTAATAATAATTATCCACTCCTAAAGGAAAAGAAAATGTTATCTTACGAAATTATTATGGTAAAAATATTTAATTAACTTTCTCACACGGACTCAAAACGTATGAGAATCAAAATAACTGAAGAGACCATTTTTAAATTCTTGAAAGCTCTGTAAGCAAGCAAGCGGTTACATTCACAGGCATTTCAGCGTTTACTACAGTCATCTTTTGGCATTATTAGTAACTATAATGAGCAACAGCTGATTAGTGCAGTCTTCACGTGGATTAAATCGAGGCGACCCTGGCAGAAAAATAATTGATTTAAAAAAAAATATATATACCATTAGTTTCGTCTTAATTTGTACCACTCGAAAATTGCTTTTTTGGATTTTGTACCCCCTCCCCCCCAAATGTTAAAAAAAAGCGAAAAAAACGAAATTTCGGAAAACTCATACTCCTGGCAGAAAAATGATAGATATCTTAAAAGAAAAAAAATACCACTTGTTTCATTTTAATTTGTACCATCAGAAAAATGTTTTTTTGGAATTTGTACCCTCTCTAAAAACAGAGAAAAAAAGATTTTCGTAGGGTAGATTAGCAATTCAAATTAACGTATTACTGCGCATGCACGGCGGAAAATCTATCTCCAGCAGAAAAATATGCGATTTAAAAAAGAAAATATATGAATGCCTTCTTCTTAATTTGTACCATCTAAAAAATACATAAAACTAATTTGTATCCCTGTAGAATTTGAATAATACAATGTTTTTGTGCGATTGTAATACTGATAAATTTTACAGGAAAATCTTTTATTTCTTAAGAAAAAAATATATTTCTAGCTTTACCTTAAATTTTACCAACTGAAAATAGTTTTATTGTAATTTTTACACTCTAAAATTTAATTAGTCATGTTAATATACAAAGTCCTAAGTTAACGTGTGTTCTTAAACTCCTACATCCGCAAAAACAGCTGATTATTCGAATGATAAAGTAGGAAACTCTGATAGGAAAAATATTTATTTACCAATGCGAAAACAGCCCGACACAAATAACATTTTATAAAAAAAAATGATCACATCTCACGTATGGCTAATTGTACTTCTCGAAAAAATAATTATTTGTTATTGTACCATTATATTTCTCATAAAAAATAAAAAATATCGTTATCGATAATTCACCTCCTATTTATTCACATAAAAGACATAATTACAAGCAAAAATAAATTCATAAAAAAATTGTACCTTCTGTAGTCTAAATTGTACCATCAGTACAGTTCTATAAATTTGTTTCTAAAAGAAATAATAGGACAATTACAAAGCTCTACGCCTGCGAAAAGTGCATTTCCGGATGACACTTGTAAGTTGTAACAATTAGTGGTAATTTGTAATTGTACTATTATTTCTTTTAGAAACAAATTTATAGAATTGTACTGATGGTACAATTTAGACTACAGAAGGTACAATTTTTCTGTGGATTTATTTTTGCTTAATTATGTCTTTTATGTGAATAAATAGGAGGTGAATTATCGATAACGATATTTTTTATTTTTTCTGAGAAATATAAAGGTACAATAACAAATAATTATTTTTCGAGAAGTACAATTAGACATACGTGAGATGTGATCATTTTTTTTTTTATGAAATGTTATTTGTGTCGAGCTATTTTCGCATCGGTATTTATTTCCTAAAACAAAATACACCACCAGCCTTGCCTTAATCAGTACCATTTGAAAAATAGTTATTTTGGAATTTGAACCCCTCGAAAATATTGAGAAAAAAATTAATTCGTAGTCTAATTGGACGATTCTAATTTCGTGTCTTCCGCGCTGCGGAAAATCTCGTTTCTCGGCGGAAAAATCGTGAAATTTTAATGTAAAAGATTATGAATGTCTTCTTCTTAATTTGTACCATCTACGAAATCCAAAAATATAATTTGTACCCCTGTAGAATTTGAATTATACAGCGTTTTTCATAGAAACACAGTAAAATGCAAAAAATAATAAAATTTTTTATCCTAGCAGAAAAATGGTGAATTTTCTTAAAAAATTTTAAATAAATAGCTTTATGCCTATTTGGACTATTCAAAATTATCTAAATTTTCTTTTCTGTACCCCTCCAAATTCCAAATCCAAAATTATATTAAAGTTATAAGAGCTGCATTAATAGGAATGGGTTATTTTCTGAAATAATCCATTCCTATTAATACCTATTAATACAGCTGTATTTATTAATAGGAATGGGTTATTTTCTGAAATAACCCATTCCTATTAATAAATGAAATTTCGTGGAGTTATAAATAACTTTTGCTATCTTTGTTAACCACGCGCAGTTTTTCTGTAATTTTTTTATTACAGTTGTACTAATTAATAGAAACGGGTTATTTCAGAAAATAGCCTATTCCTATTAATGAGAGCAGCATTAATAGGAATGGGTTATTTTCCGAAATAATCCATTCCTATTAATACAGCTCTTATAACTTCAATATAATTTTGGATTTGAAATTTGGAGGGGTACAGAAAAGAAAATTTAGATAATTTTGAATAGTCCAAATAGACATAAAGCTATTTACTTAAAATTTTTTAAGAAAATTCACCATTTTTCTGCCAGGATCACAAATTTTATTAATTTTTTGCATTTTACTGTGTTTCTATGAAAAACGCTGTATAATTCAAATTCTACAGGGGTACAAATTATATTTTTGGATTTCGTAGATGGTTCAAATTAAGAAGAAGACATTCATAATCTTATACATTAAAATTTCACGATTTTTCCGCCAAGAAAAGAGATTTTCCGTAGCGCAGAAGACACGAAATTAGAATCGTCGAATTAAACTACGAATTAATTTTTTTCTCAATATTTTCGAGGGGTTCAAATTCCAAAATAACTATTTCTCAAATGGTGGTGATTAAGGCAAGGCTGGTGGTGTATTTGGTTTTAAGAAATAAATATTTTTCCTATCAGAGTTTCCTACTTTATCATCCGAGTAATCAGCTGTTTTTGCGGATGTTATAGGATCAGTTAAGAACATACGTTAACTTAGGACTTTGTATATTAACACGACTAATTAAATTTTAGAGTGTAAAAATTACAATAAAACTATTTTCAGTTGGTAAAATTTAAGGTAAAGCTAGAAATATATTTTTTTCTTAAGAAATAAAAGATTTTCCTGTAAAATTTATCAGTATTACAATCGCACAAAAAACATTGTATTATTCAAATTCTACAAGGATACAAATTAGTTTTATGTTTTTCTTAGATGGTATAAATTAAGAAGAAGGCATTTATATATTTTTTTAAATCGCATATTTTTCTGCTAGAAGATAGATTTTCCGCCGCGCTGCGTAGTAATACGTTAATTTGAATTGCTAATCTACCCTACGAAAATCTTTTTTTTCTCTATTTTTAGAGAGGGTACAAATTCCAAAATAGCATTTTTCTGATGGTACAAATTAAAATGAAACAAATGGTATTTTTTTCTTTTAAGATATCTATCATTTTTCTGTCAGGAGTATGAGTTTTCCGAAATATCGTTTTTTTCGCTTTTTTTTTAACTTTTTAGGAGGGTACAAATTCCATAAAAGCAATTTTCGAGTGGTACAAATTAAGACGAAGCTAATGTTATATTTTTTTTTAAATCAATCATTTTTCTGCCAGGGTCGTTTCGATGTGGATTAACCGAACCGGACGAGACAGTATGTTTAGATTTTTCCTGGAGTTGGTTGTTTATCAACGTAATGAGAACGTTTTAAAGGAAATCCCATAACGTCAACAACTTCAAAATCAACTAGATTAACAAAATGTTCTATATTTTATTCTTTTATTATAATACCGTCAGGTGATTATTATATAGCAAGAAAAATGGTTTATTTAACTCGAATTGTAGGTTATGCTAAAAAGGCACACTTCAAGGTATATATAAATATCGTTTTAAATTGACTGTTTCATATAAATTTGAAAACTAATTTAATAACTTAGTTTTTAAAACTTTTATATAAATTATTTGAGAAACAATCATTGATTTTGTACAATTTATTTTAAGCCTCAAAGAAAATATCTACAAAGTGGATTCCTTGATTTGCTTCGATTTCATGTGAGAGGTGGTACTGGAGGTTCTGGTTTATCTAAGTATGGTGGAATAGGTGGAAGAGGAGGTGATGTTATTGTTAGAGCAAAAGAAGGTATTACTTTGAGAGATTTATCAAAGTATGTACAAAACAAGGAACTAGTTGCTGGGACTGGATTTGATAGTACAAAGAAAGGAATTTTGGGAATTGCTGGAGAGGATATAATAATCAATGTTCCATCTGGTGTAATTGTATATAATGAACAGACTAAAACTGTCATTGGTGAGCCATTATTCAAACTGTATAGATGTGATGGATTTTCATCCTTTTAAAGAGAGTTATTTCATATCATTTTTCTAGGTGAAGTGAATGAACCTGATAAAACATTAGTTGTAGCTCTTGGAGGAGTTGGTGGTTGTGCAGAAACTAATTACAGTGGGCAAAGAGGAGAGTCTTATCATATCATTTTAGATTTGAAGTTGATATCTGATATTGCTTTAGTTGGTTTTCCTAATGCAGGAAAGAGTACACTAATAAGATCAGTATCAAATGCTAAACCAAAAATTGCAGAATATCCTTGTATGAAGTTACTATTCTTTCAGAAGAAATATTGACTACAAAAGATTGTTTATGTTTTAATGTTAATTTTATTTCCTTTTAGTTACTACTGTGAGGCCACATTTAGGAAAAATTATATATCCAGATTTCCGTGAAATATTAATAGCTGATTTACCTGGATTAATTGAAGGAGCTCATAAGAATATTGGAAAAGGCCATAGTTTCTTGAAGCATTTAGAAAGAACAAAATTACTGTTATTTATAATTGATATTCAAGGATTCAGATTGTCACCTAAACATTGTTTGAGAAATGCTTTAGAAACTGTCCTTCTATTAAATAAGGAGATTGAATTTTACAAACCAGAATTACTAAGCTTACCAGCAATTTTATTACTTAATAAGATGGACACTAAAAATGCTTCTAAAATATTAGATAATATTAAACCAAAGTTAGAAAATTTGGACAACTATAGATCAGAATTCCCAGATGATATTTGTCCAGAGCAAACTTTGAAGTTTGAAAATATTCTACCTGTATCATTGATTAATAAAGATAAAGATGAAATGAAACTAATCAAAGATACCCTAAGAATGAATCTTGATAAGATACAAGAGTTAAAGGATCTCAAAATTGAAAAAGAAATGCCAGAGCTCAAATTGGTTCGAAAATTAAAAAGACATATGACATTACATGCTCCCGTACTTGTGTGAATGATTTGATGGTTTTCATTAAATTTTTACCAATAATTAAATTATAATTATTATCAGCTAGTTGTAAAAAGTTTATTATATTTTTACAGTATGTACAGTATGACTTGAATATTAAATAGCTATCTACCTATAATGTTTCGTAAATAAATTTTTATCCATTTTCGTTTTATTCCCTCATCTGTTAAAATTTTACTCCAGTTTTCTCCTATTGGAGCTCTATGTCTGATATCAATTGCATCAATTTCTTCTGGATTTCTCAGTACTCCAATACCTGCATTATATTTCTCAATTCCATTCCATGCGACCATAATCCCATTATCCGTGCAGAGTTTTGGAGGTGGTCTTATAAATTTATATCCTCTTTCGGAGCAAAGTTTTTCTAAACATTTGGCAAATATGTTGTTTGAAGCTACACCACCAGATACAATCTGTAATGTGTAATATCATAGTTTAATTAACTTAAAATTATTGTCAATACATAAATTTGGACCCAACTGATCAGTACCAATGTTTTCTTGTTCTTGGATATTAATTCTCTTTTCTCAATAAATTCCATTGCTCTTTCTGTTCTTATACATATGTGCCGAATAATTATTTGTAAAAAACCAGCACAAAGATTGTTCATACTTGGAATTAGCTCATCTTCTGTTAGATTATGTTTTGCTCTTTCAATACTTATGAAACGTTTAGCTGCACTTTTCAATCCTGAAAAACTGAAATTACAATCTCTATAATGTGTTAGAGGTAGAGGAAATTGAAACTGATCAGGGTTGTCAGCTTTAAGTGAAGCTAATTCAATAGCTTGACCTCCACTTATTTGTGAATATTCTGGAATATTTATTAGTTTTAAGCTTCGACCAATCTGAAATAATAAATTTTAAATCAACACTCTTTGGCAAATATTTGGCTAGGTTCTATGTGAAGAATTAGTTTAGGTAATTTTTAAACTTTAAACCTCCAGAAAATTTTCTAATTTTGGAAATTTACCTTATCAAAAGCTTCACCTGGAGCATCGTCTGTTGTTTGTCCAAGAATTTTAAATTGATCAACAGCCTCAGCAAAGGCTAGTAAACAATGGCCACCTGATATAAGAAGAACTAGAAATGGAAATTCTACCTGTAACAAAAATCTTAAAAAGTATGTCAAATTAAACTATACAATATAATTATCATTAATTGACAGAAGTACTTTTTCAATCATTCTTGCCATCAAGGCATGAGCTTGCATATGATGAATAGGTATCACAGGTTTATTAAATGAGCGAGATAGTTGTTGGGCTAAATCTCTTCCAACAATCAATGATAAAGGTAAACCAGGTTCTAGTGTTACAGCAATGGCATCCACGTCACTTAATTCTATATTTGCAGACTTTATACATTGCTCATAAACATTATAAATGTTTTCTTTATGTAAATCTCTTGCTGTAGTTGGATTAATACCTCCTTCACTGTGTACAATATATAAAAAATTATTTAGAATCATTGAAAAGATGTGAAGTAACAAATAAAATAAAAAAACGTTTACATTAAATGTTTCACCAATTGTGAATGATGAGCTTCTCCTAAAATTTTCCCATTGCTATCAACAATAGCAATACCGGTATCATCGCAACTTGTTTCAATGCCTAAAATTATTATTGGTTTATTTGTAGTTGACAATTTTCTTGTTGTTCTATAAATCAATGCTTGATTGCTGCTATTCCACAGACTTTTATAAAATCTAACAAATTGTCGTAATTGATGCATTTTTTAATTTTATTTTCTCGGTATTGAATATACATAACCTCTTATTGTAACTTTACAAACAAAACGGTCTGAATAAAAAGAAGATAAGCAGCGTGTACGCGAAGAATATATATTTTGCGCGACCGAAATCGCTTTAGTACACGCAAAGGTGTTTACATAGACAAAGTTCTAGTTTGCGTATAAAAACAACTAGAAATTTCAAAATCTATCTTAAAATAAGAAAGATCGTACAAAATTATTAATCACAACACATTCAAAACGTGCATCGTCTGCTCGAAAATCACGTGTACTCATCAGTGCGCTTTTGCTCCTGTGATGAGCTTTCATTAGATGGGGCTAATGTTTTGGTATGAGTGCGATAGTAAACTTGCGGGTTGAACATTTTATTTGAAATACTTATAAGTAGCATATTGCCAAGTATCCTGGCGTTTGTTGAACAAAATGCTTCAAACAGATCAAGACGCTGTATTTTCTACATTCGTCCTTCGATTCTGGTATTTACTCCATAATAATTGAAATGTATTCTATGGACGTAAATTTTAAATAAATGCCGAAGAATTATTGGTTGAAGGCATTGCAATTTCTATAGTAGTGTGAATGTGGTTAGGAGGACTTTCAACTGATAATCCGCAAAATATAATCTTTGTTAGCTTTAGTTTTTGGATTTTTGTCTTTACGTATGCATTTGAGCTTTAAGGTCATCATCTTCGTTAGTGACTACGAGGGTCTGGACAGGGGTGTTACATGTTGGCAAACCAATTTATTACACTTCGAGCCTCTGACTTTTAAATTATTTTGATTTATCCACTTGTCAAATTTTCAAGACTTGTTAGTCTGCTTTAACGTAGCCTAAATTCAAGACTTAAAATTAGACAAACAACTGCTAAATAAAAATATTTATGCAGCATCTTTATCGTTACCCAATATTATTCTTTTCTGTAAAAGTTAAATTTTATTGCAACTGACATAATATAAATGTAAATTAATTCATATGAAAAAAATATGTTTATAATCAGTTAGTTGTAAATTATGATATTGGTAGAAGAATCATTTGTCAGCTACACGTACATAAAATTAGCACTATTTACTTACTTGAAAACAGAAAGAAGTTTTGTAATTTCAGTTTCAATTCATTATATCAATGACTGATGAATTTATTTAGATTTGGGACATTTTTCCTTGAAAGAGGGCAAGTTCAAGTTGGATCGACATCAACATTGCACAATACAATACTTGACCGGTAGTAGTAAGAAGTAGTGTAAATGGCGCGTGACAGATAGTAGTTTGGTAAAACAATTACTAATAATTTAAACAATATATAATTACTTTGAATGAAAAATTGAAAATACTTGAGGAGCAAATGGCTACCTTAGTTATTTTTGAATTTCTTAATTGACGATTGGGCTTTGATATTCTGTTTTCTAAAAAAAATAATATCTTATAGCAATTTCACTACATAATAATCGCATTTTTGCTTTCATCGCTTACATAAGACTAAGTAATGAAATATTATATATTATTACATATTTTTTGGGTATAAAGATGCAGATCATATTTTTTCTATATAAAATGTGACCATTTTTGCCTTTAAGATATTCGGCAAGAAATGTTCAAATACTTCTATAATTTTGAATTTCGCGCCAAAATGATTTGAATTGTGGCGGAACTCTGTGTAGTTTCAAACCGAAATTGTAATTTAATAATCAATAGAGATGTTGTCTAAAACAAAATAACTAAATAATAAAAATTTCCAAGTTTTGTTTAGGTATGTTTCTAGCGCTCAAAATGACAGAAGTAACCATTTTTTCATGGAATATACAATGTTATATTCAGTTTGAAGATAATAATAAAAAAATTTCTGTCATTCAGCTAGATATAAAATTTATATCAAAATGAATGTACACAAATTGCTTAAATTACATAAACTACAAATCTGTAGAAAGAAAAATACTTCAAAATAAAAATAAAATCAATATAAAAGAATAACATGTTTTAAGAATATCTATATTATATTGACTAGAAATCATCAATGAATTAGAGCAAAGAAGAAAGTAAAAAAAAGGTTGCAAGCTCTTATTGACCTACCGAGAACTCCCTACCCAAAATCTCAACGTTTGCCCATTTGTTCGTCTCTCTCTCTCTCTCTCTCTCTCTCTCTCTCTTCGCAGCTCTGTGCGTTAGCAGCTTTGGTTTTCTTCCTCGTCTGGCGCGGCGCATTCGTACGTCTCGGCGGTAGTTCGGCATCGGAGGTGCTCGCGCTATATCGAGAACGTGCGAGCTCTCTCCATCTCTCTCTCTTTCTCTCTCTATCTCTCTTTCACTCTCGAAAATAGCAAAAGTAAAAGCCCTCTCGAACACGGCCGGGGATACCAAAGTGCTACGACGACAATGGGCAACGCCCAGAGGAAGGCTGCCCGTCACCCTTCGAGGGGGCCCTACGTCATGCCCAGTCCTAACAAAAAGGTCCATTGGGAGGGACCAGGTAATCAGAGCCCCGGCGCTCTCTCCGGTGAGCTTGCGCACACTTTGCACTCTCGACAGGCATCGAGGCGGCAAAGAGACACTTGCACACTTCTTCAATTTTACCACCTTGCTTCAGCGAGCGCTTATCGGTGATTGTTCATGATGGTGAACGAGTGGCGTGTCTCGAGCGATCGTTCATCGATTATGGCTTTAGGAAGTGCGATCGCCAATTTCGCAGTGAGGAAGTTGAGGTTGGAAGACGCCTCGAGAGAGCGCCTCGGCTGGATTGGTTAACTTTCTTAAATTAGAAAATGACTATTTACATCTGACTCCGGCGGCGGCCGATACAATGTGATTGTTACCGTATGCGAGTGTAAATATTTCAGCGATCTCGCGTTCCATTCTGCCCGAAGGTTTAATCTCGCGTATCTCGATTAGATTATATTAATACTCGCATAGACGTAAATCACCTGTTGATAGTCATGCAGGCTAATGCCGATTGAAGCTTTTTGCAAGCTCGCTTTCTATTTTTCATCTTGCGCGGGTGCTTCTCACACACGTGCACCTCGTATTTTCATTCGATATATAGTGAGATAGAGAGTGTTTGGGGGAGGGGGAAGAAAGTAGTTTCGCAGACTCCGCGTCCGCGTTTTAAACAGGGTCAGATGCCCCCCCCCCCCATCCCTACCATCTATTTTGCCGTTTGTATGCTTGCTTGCTTTGCGCGCAAGTGCCATTTGCTCTCGGCAATTGTTGCACGCGCGCGTTTTACGCCTTTTTCATTTTCTTGTCCTGCGCCGCGAGAATCGGAGAATGCGCCGCGGCAACGGCCTCAATTGCCGAGTTTAGGCTTCGGAGTGACATAAACTGCCAGGCGTCGGGAAAACATAAATTTCACGTTGCTTCAATTGTTCGCTGCTGCGGACGAGTTAAGGGAATGTCGAACTAAACTTGATCGATCGTTGCCAGTCACTTTTCAATTGGTACATTCGGATTGTAATTTCGCTTACGATTATTGAATCGAACTTAGTTTTGAAAGCTTTACCGGCAATATGCATTATAAACAAATAATAGATTTTAACAATGCTAGTAAAATATCTTTTACAAATTAATATCTGTTCTGAGTGTAATGGGTATTTTACGTGCAGATTATGTAGGAAATAATCTTTCTAAATAAATACAAATTAGATAGTTTTTCAAAAAGTGCATAAATATTTCTAATTATGTAAATACAGAAAATTTATGTAATTTGAATAAAACTAAAAGATTTTAATGGATAGATTGAAAAGTATATCGATTTCTGAAAATTGATATAACATTTAAGAGAAAAAGACTTTAACTTATAAAGATTTTACATGAATAAAAATTGTATAGGATGGTCAATATATAATGTACATTTCATTCTATCATGTTTCACCGTAGTTCTTTAAGTTATTCTAGAATTTTCAAATGAATGTCATTTCCGTAAAGTAATATTTTATATATCGTCAGCTACATTGGTACTCATTAGAATTTGAAGTAAAGGCGTGCTGCGTACAATATATGTATACCAAGCGCCGGGTAATGCCGATCTACACGCGACACACATCGCACACATACAGTCAGAGAGAAGTGTCGTCGCCCAATCGATCACCAGGCTCGCGTTCGCCCTCGGCCTCTCTCTATCTATCTGAAATTTTTCGTCGCGAGTCAATCGGTGATTTATCGCGTGAGACACGCGGCGCGCACGCGAGGACGTCGCAGTAGTACAATTGGTTGGTGGCTCGATCTGCCCAGCCAGTTGCCGAAGGCGCGCAGGTTGCCAAACGGTGGGTTTCGGCGTTTTATTTCGAGCGGAGTGTGCGTGATGAGCGGTTTGCGGCTGCGCGCAACACGCGAGAGAGGCCTTTTCAAACATCGAGCATAGTCGTGCTCGCGTCTCTCTCTCTCTCTCTCTCTCTCTTTCGAGCTTGACGAATGAGCCACGCCGACCACACGATGGAGGTGCATTTGTTTGTTCCAACTACACGAGAGATTTAAGATTGTCTGGCATTATGTCTGACTGTAGTGTATGTGGATTCCTTGTCTATTTGATGAACGTGAGATTCTGGTGATTTTTTAAATACTGATTTACAAAAGAGGTTTTGGATATGGTTATGTCCAATAAGTAATCTAAGGCGGAGCAAGAGTATTGTTTAGTGCGTAGTACAAAGTGCCAAAGCAGTTGTTGGATGAGTGATTTCAACATCGTATGAAAGGTCGATTTAGATTTAAAGGTCCCTTGTGTATGACACGTGAAGAATCGTACGATCAAAGCTAAAGTATTAAAAAGTGATATTGTTCCTAATTTTCAACTGCAATCGCAGGAATAGTACGATTTATTACGATCAATTAAGAATGAAATTTAATAGAAACTTTAAAAAATGTACGTAAATGATCGTTTAAATAAAATTATACAAAATTGAATCACCAGAATACATGATTAGATGAAAAATTTATTTCAATCGATTCGAAAGTTTGACCAGTAGCCTCTTAGAAAATACTGATTGTTTATATACATATTATTATTTATATCAGAACTTGCATTGTTTGCATATTAGATTCATACACTATAGTCAAGTACATGTGACTAAAGCACATGTATTTACTTCCACGATGAATCATTATTGTTTACGTCTCTTGACCATGTATTGTAATTAAAAAATATCACCTCTATGTGTTTTTTATTGATTAATATGTAATACTGATGTAAATAACAATATTTATAAGATTCTCATTAAATATCGGTAAATGTTTTTGTGTATTTCATTTGTTTTGTCAATAAATAATATTAAATTTTCATCAACGCATAATTATAAAAGTATGGAGGAGAAGAAAAAAACACAAAAACATTTACAGGAATCCAAAGAAGACGAAGACGAGTCGCAAGCATCCTCATTGGAGGAAGCTCGTGAGCTTGCACGTCGAATGCACGACGAGTTAAGGCGTACTCTACTTTTCATGTCGCGTCTGCAAGGACTGCCAGCACCACCAGGAAAACCAATCCTCATACCCGGCGAAGAAGATTCACAACCAGATGTCGTTGGTATACGATGGGAAAGATCATCGTCGAATGGTGGTTCGGCCATCATTGGTTATCATGTGGAACATCGAAAAATGGGTACACCACATTGGGTTCGATCGGCACCAGTACTCTGTACTTTTCCTGAGCTGACGCTTAGTGGTTTGGAACCTGGCTGGAGATATCAGTTCAGAATCAGGGCACAAAATGCATTGGGACTGTCGGAACCGAGCGAACTAAGCGATCCGTTGACGGTTACGCTTCAAAGGACTACTTCTTTGGCGCCGAGGTTCGATCGGGATCTCAGGGATTGCGTTGTACTGGAAGGACTGCAGGTTTGTTCAATTACATTGATAATTATTTATTTATATTTTCAATTCAATGTATAATTTTTTTCAACAAACTGGGCTTTCAGTATATATTTATTCTACATTTTTTCGCTTGAAGTTGAAGTGAAATATTACGAAACTTTTGTTTAAAAATAGCTCACGAACAATGCGAAAGCAAGTCGAGAAATTTTATTGACATTGTTGAATTATAGGCTGAATTCTTGGTGGTTTACGATGGGACGCCTCTGCCAAAGATATCATGGTTCAAAGATGGTTTCGAAATCTTTAGTAGTCGGCGCACGACAATAACGACTGACAGCAACACAAGCACGCTTATTATTCATACGACTTCGATGGACGACGAGGGAGAAATCAAGTGTTCGGCTACGAACCGAGCTGGTCACATTAGCACTAGAGCTAAATTAATAATCGAAGGTATATTATTCATAAAAGAATGTATGTTCGTTTTAACAATCATATTTTCTTTTCATATTTAGCACCTCCTCATGTTCGATTACCAAGGCAATACGATGAGGGTTTATTATTTGAACAAGGCGAGACGATCAGACTGAAAGCAACAAATGGTGGTCGGCCAGCACCAAGTATAACATGGTATCATAATGGCGAGATCATTATCGTCGATTCGCGACATCATTTTGAGTCGATCACCGATAATGAGACGATCCTAAAAATCACAGACGCCAAACGTCAGGATCGAGGCGAATATTCCATTAGGGCGATCAATAAACTTGGCGAGGATGTTGCTTCGTTTTTGGTCACCGTCACAGGTAGGTAAGAGGTTTTCCCTTTTCTTGCTGCAAACGCGCAATTCAAATGTATCACGCGAAGAGTGGACATTTTATTTTACGAGATAAATGTGTTTATTTCAAAATAAATGAGCGTTAATGATATGTTTGATGTGAATAGACCGTCCAGCTGCGCCAGGAAAAACTGTAGTGATGGGTACTTTAGGGAGAAATGTTACGTTGGCGTGGCAGGAGCCTGAAGATGATGGTGGTTGCAAAATTGGCACGTACATCGTCGAGTATTACAGAGTTGGTTTTTAATTTATAGATCTATTTTCGAATATTGAAGTTTTTAAATTCTGACGTACATGTTTTCAAATTCAAGCTTGGTTGGGACGTGTGGTTGAAAGCAGCTACCTCCAGACAAACAACTGCCACATTGAACGATCTAATCGAAGGTTCAGAATACCGTTTCCGAGTGAAAGCTGAAAATCCTTACGGTCTTAGCGATCCTAGTGAAGAAAGCGATATCGTATTCGTACCCGATCCAAAAAGAGGGTAAATTTTACCACTAATCATAAGACAGAAATATTAAAAAGTAATATTTTATTTGTATTTTCGTAGAATAACAGAGCCGAATATGCGAGCAAAGTCGGCGAGTCAGCGTGACATTCCGCGTGGACGTAGTGAGAGACGGGAAGTCAGTTTTCGCGACGCTTCCACGCCAAGAACCCGTAGCCTTACTCGTGAAGAGGCTTCGAATCGTGAAGCCATGGCTGCTTACGAACGAACTGTTTCTACTCAACGCCTCGGCACACCTGGACACTTACAACCACCTGTTAGACCTTCCAGGACTGACAGTCGAGTGACTTTTGCACTCGATACCGCTGGCGGTGAAAACAGACGACAATGGTCCAAAGAAATGCTTCCACAGCCTGTAGAGTTTGAAATTCTAGGTATTCGATAATAATTTACGTTTTTATGGAATGTTATTTATTTGAAATTTACGTTGTGGTAATTTTTCAATATATTTGATCACTTACTTTTGAAGTTTATATAGAATACATACATAGTTGTATTAATTGCAAGAGTAGCAGGTAGATTCAAATTTATAGCTACGCTTACGACCTCCATTATCATTCTATTTTTGTCCACGATATGACAAAACTATTGCAAGCTCCTGCTTTACATTAGCTCTCCGAAGGTGATTAATGTTCTCATGAATCAAATTTTATTTATGATGCTCATGATAGGCTTTATGTATAAATTTAGATTGATTACAATTTAATTTTTTTCTATAATATTATTTGAAGTTGAGTATCATAAAACAACCTTTTTTTTTATTACTCCTAAAGTTTTGAATACAAATTTTAGTATATTCATTTTGAAACTAGTATAACTTGATAAGGCTCACGTCCCGAAGATTTCTACCAATATTGACATTATGCATTGCCTTTCTAAATTACTAAAAAATAAACAAAATAATTTTATTGGTGATACAGAAATGGGAAAAATTGATCTGATCTACTTTATTGTTTCTAGACCGAAACAAAACGCAAACAACAGTGATCGTCACACCGATCTTCAACGACTCGGGCGGTGAAACTTCTTATCTAGAATCGCGTTCTTGCTCGGTATGTTACTCTCGTGAGCATAGTCCATCGCCTTTGGAACTCGAAGAAATTACGGAAAGAGCAATTCAGGAAAGAGTTGAAAGTATGAATCTAAGGTCACAGTTGAGTCCTCCACGTACTCCAAGGCGCAGGCGCAGTACTTCCGAGGTTCGCGACACTCACACAAGCTTATGCAGCTTAAGGAGAGATGATGAGGAGAACATGCTGCACGGTAGCTCGGAATTCATGCTGGTACTTTACCCCGGTGCAGAGGATGGAAAGCAGCATCAAGCGACGAGGATGGAGAAAGAGAAGGAAGTGGCAGCGAGGAGAGATAGTCGAGCGAAAAATATCATAGGTCAGTTTTTCTTTTTTGAAAAGTGATCTAGATTAAAAAATAAATGTTATCGAATGATTATTCCGATATTATTTTTGTTTGCACAGCTGACAGATTACCAGTAAGCCATTCAACAATTCATGCACCAGGCGAATCGGAAGATGAAGATTTAGTAGCACCACCACCTACATCATTCTCCCTTCCCGAACTCTTCAGCGCAGAGCATCAAATCATTGAAATCCTTCGCGAAGCAGTCAGCTCAACAGAACTTCTTCACGAACGTGCAATGGAACGTTTCTACAAAGCAGTAGAAGCTGAAAAATCCGCCGAGCAAATAAAAACTCAATTTGATGCTACATCGGCCGAACCATATCCGCTATTCAATCCACGTATTCGACCAGTACGCAGAAGATTATCGAACTCGGGTGGTACTGCCTGGCAGTTAAGACGCGATCGACGAAGATCGAGCGAAGGACAAGCTAAACTATCTTCATCATTAAAAATTCCAGATATCTATGAACCTTTGCAAAATGTATCATCAGATCCGAACTTACCGACAAGTGAAGAGGCGTTAGCTCAAAAGAAATTAGACGCATGGACGGACAATATTACAAGTTTAAGAGACAGTGCTGAACGGTTGAAGAGATGGCATGAAACGGGCATTGATCTGAGTCAAGAAAGAAATGTATCTGATGTAATTGGCAAAGAAAAGGCGCAGATGAATAAGGAAAGAGAAGAACTTTTGACCAAATCAGAACTTAATATCAAAGTACACTTATTTATTTTCTATAGGATACTTTGATACGTCTAACTATTTTTTTTAAATTTATTATGATTTTTTCCAGACACCAGTAGTAGGAAAATTAGAAGAAGAATACGATGAAGTAACTCCGGATACAGGTGAAATCCTCGCCGAAGACAGCATCGAAACCTCCGGGGTATCTTCCGAAGGAGAAAGTACTGACAGTGAAGATCTAAAGAAGTTAAAAGCTCGAATAATGGCCATTCCCGTAGTAGAAGAAGAGGACACATATAATCCTCGTGGTCGAATGATTACTAATTTAGACTTGCCTGATATACCTCCTCCGGTACCACCACACAGAGTACCTTTGACTGACATTGTTACGCCACCAGCGACACCTGATAGAACTAATTTATCACCGACAAATCTCACGCCTGCCTCATCGAATAGTGCCATTGTGCCAAAGTCGATATTAAAAAAAAGGACTGATAACGAGCCTATAATTGTTAATCAACTTATAAGACCTATTCCACCGGAGAAACCAATAAAACAGTCGATATCTTCCAATGAAGAATATGAAGGTTTAAGTACTAGGTACATTGTTTAATTTAATATTGTTTTAACCAAAACAAAAATTGTATTATTATAGTTTAATAATTGTATTATAATTGCATTATATTATTACAGTTACAAGTCATTGTCAAATCTTAACTATATCAATCTGGACGGAGCGACAGTTAACGAAAATTATATGCCAACGCCCACGCCAGTGCCCTCTCCAGAATCATTGCCTTCTCCAGAATTAATAATGTCTCCTATCTCTTCATCTCCAGTCGCAAGCACATTGGATATTGACCGAGAAAAAGAAGCAGTCATATCGGCAGGCGAAGCTGCAGTTACCAAACGACGTCAAATGAGACAAGGCTCCAAACAGTTGTCGACCGAAGAAGTAGAGGAAGAGCAACAAGAGGAAAGAATGGCAGTTGTAAGCCATTATACAGAAATCGTTAAACAATATTCATCCCCAGAATATAGACAACGATCGTTGAGTAGAGATCGGGAACCCGTACGACGACCATCGGAACCAAGAGTTGCATCTCCAATCAGAAATCAAATGACGAATCAACCCATTATACAACGAGAAAGACTACCAATGGTGAACCAACCTAGTTTACAAAAAGAAAGATTACCCATCACACCAGGTAAGATTGTTACGCCGATACCGCCGATCATCCCACTGATACCAGGAGCGAAGATAATTGAACCGATACCCCCTGTGATGCCTACAACGCCTATTCAGAAAGCCAAACCAATCGATCCAGCCGAGCAGCGTTCAAGACGTAGGAGTCGAGGAAATTCCATTGAGCCGGAATTAAGAAGTAGACCAAGGAGACAGGAATCCACTGACAGTAGACCTTCGCGAAAAAGTAGTATCGCCAATTCGCGAAGTACAACACCGACAAAATTGAAGGTCAACAGTCGACCATCATCGAGAAACGAATCTCCAATACCAAGGTCAAGGAATGTATCGACAGACCGAAGCCGAGCAACGTCAGTATCGAGGACTAATAAAAAATCAAAAAGTAGTCGACCATCGTCTAGATCTAGTTCGAAGGATCGATCACGTGCAGCTACACCAACAGAGGAAAAATTAGAACGTTTGCAAAGGGCATTAGATGACAAAAGAGATCGAATGAGGCGAGCATCAACTAATGAAATCAAGGTTAAAGAAGAAACCGAACGCAAAGTACGCTCGACTTTCAATTACTTCATTGACGTCGGTCTACTTCTCGCAGCTCTTTACGTATATCTTTTCAAGAAAGAAATTCTTGCTGTGCCTATCATTGCATTGCTACTGTTTAGATATATTCAACAAGAGCTGAGAGGCATGATGCCGAACTGGTGGAGAAGACGCTGATGACTTTTTTTTACTGTTTCCCAAGATTGTTTTTTATGTCTTTTTCTCGACTGTCAGATTTTTTGGTTGGTATTTTTTTTCAAACATTCTTTTTCTTTTTAATGAAAGATAATCACTTTATTCAGAAACTATGCGATTTTCGAGGATCATCTATTTTGATTTCTGAAAATGTTTTCTTTTTTAATAATTACCATCTTGGAAACCTCATTGTGTATATAGTAGGAAATAATTCAAGTTCAGGACTTTGGATGATATTTATGTCCGGGTCTAGTATTCTTTTCAAAAAAGTTGTTTAATTACGTAATATTTATGATTGTTGAAGCTTGTTGAAAAAACCATAATGTTTGAAAATAAGTTTACCTATGTTAATTATTAAAAGTGTCCATAAATGGAACGAATAATATTTTATAACAAGTTATAGACACGAAATTAAATTTTATCGAAAAATGTAATGAGAATGAAAATAAATAATGCTTAAATAAATAGTGAATAAAAGTCTTCTTTACTTAGAATTTCTCCTCCAAAATGATAGAGGATCAATGAAATCAATATATAAAGCTAAGAAATCACTGAAATCGTCACGAAAATTATTTACTATTTTCTTTATTTCCTTGATACAAAATACATCTTTATGACCAAATTATTCAAGCGTTTATAATAAAACTCAAGATTAGTCTACATTTCTTGGAATTAAATCAAGAAATGGTACATACATTTCAGTGAACCACATAACTGTCTACCGGATCGTTGATGCTTAAATTGATGTAATGAAAGGTATAATGATATTTCAATCTTACAGATTGAAGTAACAAGTTTGACCAAAATTTAATTTCAAAGTTAGAATTCAAATAAGCTGAAAAATTTATTCTGTACAAATCAGCAAGGCGTATCTTTCCCATTACCAAACTTCAAGTGCTTGAAAGAAAAATCGTGTTTTTTTTTGCTGAAATCAGTGAGAAACGATAGGAAGATAGCGAGTTATTTACTCGACTGAGTAAAGAAGCCATAAACATAGATAGATGGAAGTGTATCAAAAAAGAAGAGAGAGAAAGATAGAAAGAGAGGCGATATCTGTGAAAAAGTGTTAAAATCTCGTGGAAGCATTCAAGCTCACTTGGTGGGATGGTTGGCTGGTGTTGGTTGCCTGCTTCGGGTTCTCTCTCGCTCGCGCTGACACCGCTGGTCGCGACGTTTTTAGATCGGAGCCCCGCAAAGCGCGTGTGCGTCTTCCTCTCTCTTTCTCTGTCTCGCGCCAAAGCTCAGTGGCCGTCGGCGCGAAAGAGAGGCCGGAAGGCATATCGACGACTTGTGATATTTCGCGCGCTCGCGACCGCGTGAAGTGTGTCCGTGTGTCAGCTATGACAAGCCGGTACTGACGACTAGCACCATCAACAACAACACCACCACCAACACCACCACATCACTTTTCCCATCGCACTTTTGGGATATGACTCTAACAGGTAAATCATATTGCCCGGACGAGGAGTGCGAGAGTGAGTGAAAGAAAAAAAATCGAAGTAGGAGCGATCTTTATTTTTAGACAGCGTGTTTTGACTTTGCCACAAGTAAGTGGGTTATGGTTGGCGGTTTTTAGGTTTCAAATTTCTTTCTGTTGCGAAAGCTCTCGCGACGACACTAGCAGCAGTGCACACGCGTTAATAAAAAACAATTGTCGACTTCGCAAAGTCTCTGACTTTGAAAAATGAAAAAAAAATAAATAAATCGCAACCTACGGCGCGAGAGTGAGATAATAAACTTAGAAGCACACTTGGACATTATTCAAGCCTCGACTGCAATCCATTAATCTCGGCTCGCTTAAACTAAAATTACGTGAATTTTTTACTTGTAGCTTGCATGTTCTCTCGCTCATTCTCAGTCGCTTGCGAAGCTAAAATTAATCGCACTCGTAAAAATACTACTCCAACAGGGGGCATCGAGAGTTTTGCGGAATTCCAATGCCAAAGTGAGAGCGATGAAGATACTCATGCTTTTGCGATGGATCCGTTGGTGAGCTTGATAACTATCGATGCCGTCGAGCAAAGTAGGTACAGCGTTGGTGCCGTTATTTCGGGTGGCGAGGCAACGGAAAGAAACAAATACCCGCTTTTCTTTTTTGAAGAAAACCAATGGCGCACGAGGCACGAGTTACGAAATGATCGATCGTCGTGGAAAAGTCGTTATAGTTGCCAAACCGAATGAAAATAGGCCGTCCGTTTGAATTTCGCGCCACCACGAAGGTCGCGCTTCGCGCCAGCGCGCTGGCGCGTCGAGAAACGGAAACACAGGAGGCGCATTTTATTTTTAGCAGCAAGCCGGCGAAAATCTACGTTTACGAATTATTCCATACTTTCTTGTTGGCTTGCTTCGTCTTTTTTTCTCTTTTGGTGTACGTGTGCCTGCTTTCACTTTCGCGCCAAGTTATCAATGAGTGCGTGCCCACCGCTCGCATTTGATTTGTTGTTGTAGTAATAAGAGTTGGGAAGCTTGCCAACGAAGCCTAATGTTTTTTGTTACAAATTAAATTAGATAATCTAGTTTGCTATTTGCCGAAAATAATATTTATACCTTTACGTAATTGCGCGCGCTTGGGTGCGACATTCCTCGAATTGGGTGCGATTATGATTTTAATATATTTATTATAATTTGTGTGGGCACAGTTAAGACAGAATATTATACGGGCACTGACTTTGCACGATAATTTTATACACCAGATTTCGTTCATTTCGTCGAAAAATAAAAAAAAATTATTTTATCTACGTAATAATAATAATAATAATAATGTTAATTCATCGATGACTGCCAATTAAATGATAAAAAGTGAAATGTACACAAACTGACAAAGAAGTGGAATTGAAATATCATTTATTTGCAGATCGCGCTTCCGAAGCGGAAGACTCGCCATGGGAGGAGAGCGAGGACGACGTACTGGAGATGCGCTGTCGTGAAGGCGAGGATATATTCGTGTCGCTGAACCTACGCTCCACTGTCAATCCAGTGGACTATTTATTCGAAATGTGAGTTTTCTTTGCGATGTAATTACTCTGCTTGACTTTGACAGGGAAAAGCAAACTGGCGACCGACGAGATTATGGGACTTTGAGTAGCTTCGATTTATGGCTGTCTCGCGGCGACGAGGCTATTGTGAGAGCGGGTAAATGCGTTAAACTTTGGACACGCTGTCATAGAAATATAACATACTGCACCGACGGTATCCCGGGACTGCTTGACTGGATTGGCCCCTGTAAAATGACTTATTGTTTGAATTTTAGAGGAATATTTATGGAAGCGTATAAGCAATTGTAACTCTGCAAAAGATTTTCATCTTATGGCTGGATTATGAATTTTAGCGAAGAACAGCATAAGGAAAACGTTATGCGTATTTTTTCTTAATTGTACACGTATTCTTTTCTTTGGAAAACCATTAAATTCCCTTTTTTTACTACAACGAGGAAGTTGAAGATTATAGAAGCCACGAGTAAAATATGGCGTGGTTGATTGAACAAAACCATCGTAAATAATAAAAGAAAGTGTCATTTTCTTCAACTTCGCAAAGTGTCCAAATAATTTACAAGCTCGTACGTTTTGTGCTAATAAATTTTTCAAGAAAAGCATCATCACCATTTACAAAATTAAGAAGTAAACTTCACCGAAATAGTTAATGAATAAACTTCGGATTATCGTGCAATTAAAAATGCATATTCACAGAGCGAAAAACTAGTTGTTTCGTAAATGCACGTACAACCGTACATGCGCACCGGAGCAACCAGTCGTCATCCCGATTTCTGCGTGCCTTGTGCCAAGGATCGGTGGCTGTGTTTGTCTGTACATAGCGCGATGTTATTTCAATCCGGCGTCAACTCAATTTTCACGAGGTCGGGAATTATTCTGGTCGTGTCATCTCGCCGTCTCTGCGTGTGTTTCGCTTCAATGCCAGGGTTAGCGGCATATACTTACTGGAACTGCTTTGCAGGCGAACGACCAAGACCTGAAAATTTCAAGCGAATGCCTTGTGACCCGACTAGAAATCTCGCCGCTGTTCTTTGTTCTTGTCGCCGTGATTCGCCGAGGATGCGCGTTTTAGCAGACTGCGCCGCGATTGCGAAACTGCGCGCGCTGCAATTTTCGACTCGCGCTGTTAACTTCGACGCGCGCCGAAAGATTCGTTAGATGTTTACCGGATTCGCCGAAATTTTTTGTAGTCGAGATTTTCGTGGTGAGTGATTTAGTATGCGATGCGAGTGCTCTGTTTTCTTGGATCGCATAAGCAGTTTCGACTTGTCGTTACGCTGAAAAATGATATGCACCGAACGAGTACATAAAGTATAATGTCAAAAGTGTTTTTATTATACGGATAATTTTGTAAAAACACCGTGCTGTTTTGTTCTTACGCTCTTTTATTATAATTCGGATTGTTAATAAAAAATAATATAAATTATATAATTGTCGGGGATGTTCTGCTCGTTTAGATGCAGCAATCGGTAAAAAATGTTTCAAATATCTTGGATAATTAATACGCATTATCAAAATTCTTGCAAAACAGTGTTCGTAATTGCGTATTCTAGTTCAATACTTAAAACTCCTTGTAGTAATTGCATAGCTTTTAACTTGTAGTCTTTTCAAAAACAGCGGGTATTGCAGCCAGTACGGAAAATAATGTTCAGTTAACGATTATTCCATATTCGTAAATTTTGAATCTCTCAACTTCTATTGATTTATAAAAACAAAGAAATCATGTTGCAATGCAATACACTAAGCAACGACAACCCAGTCGTATTAAAAATAATCCCGTAGCACATAGCTAAATAAATAGTTCAAAAAATACGAAGCTCGACAACAATGCTAATACGCCGACACGTACAAAGAGTGGGGGCTCAAACTCGCTATCAGAGCCAATAAAATATTTTTTTTTTTTCAAGTTCAAAAGCCCGTGACGCGGTTCTTGACCTATTTAACGTCAGCCAGGACAGAGCCGGCTGATAGATATTCAGATGTGGCTTGTTAATGCGTTCAAGAAGATTAAGTAGGTGCGACTCTCGTAAACACTACGTTTTCTCCAAAGCACGTCGACAAGTATTTTCGATTTTTCGAATGTTTTTGCTTGGATACTGAGATCATTTAATAACTGCCGTATCTGTTTGTTAATTAAATAGCTGCTTTGGAAATATATCTCAAGCGAGCCTTGAAAAATTAAAGTCTTGACTATTAAAGTGTTTTTATGGTGAATGAATCTATGTGTAACTCTAGTAAGTGTTACCTTATGGTAAAAATTTATGTGATTAATGAGCTAATGTAGAGGTTAGTGCGGAGTGAACAAAAAGTGAATAACGTTTTTATCACTTGGGTAGTGAAGATGCTATTCGGCAATGTTAATCATACGGAAAGGTAATCTACAACAAAAATAATATTAAAATTCAAATTTGGCGAATGAGTAATAATTTAAAACAATTACTTTTTGTGGAGTAACAAAATTTCAATAAATGAAAGTATGATTCGTATGGAATAAACTGGAAAGAAATTTCATTTGCATATTGAAAATCGATGGTACGTTGAATGAATCATGAATCAGACGCGGAATTTTAATGTTTGAACAAAACGTAAATACATTTTAAAGTATGAATGACTCGATAAAAAATTAGCACTTATATTATTTATTCTGACAAGTGTCGATCGATGAATGCATTAAATAGTTCGATTAATTGACCAGTAAAAAAACGAAAACTTGAAAAAGTACGTTTGTCCAAACGAACGAGTCCGTTCTACCGAAAATACGTTGAAAGCTCATTGCCGTTGACAATCATGTACGTCACGTCGAGCGAGTAAGAGTGGTGGCGATCGAGTTTTCTCTCTGTCTCTGTCCCTCTCGCGAGCATCTCGAGCTGTATCTCGCTGGCTAGCGACGAAATAGGCCGGGGTTGCGTCTCGGTTGGTAGCGCGCGCGCATGAAACTTCGCGGCGGCACACCGTCGTGACGTTTCACGCGACGTCGACGCAGAAAAGCGCGCTCCCTCCGACGATTTCAATGTATAGCGGTAAAAAAAGAAAAACAGATAGCTAGCTAATGTGTGTTGCGCTGATTTTGTCGAATGGCTGCACGAGAGGATTGAGACTCGATGGCATTGGAACCGAGTCATGGGAAGTCAGTGCTGCAAGTGCGACAAAGAGAAGAAGTTAAACTTTTGGAGCGGTTCGAATCGTCGATCCAGTTATCGGTAATCGCATGTCGTTCGAGTGAATCAAAAAATTAGCTTATCTAGTGAAGTTTCACCCAGGATTTTTGAGTACTGTGTCCGTCGCGAGGAGCCACTTATAAAACGATATACAGCACTTTTCGTTAAGAAAGTTGTCTAGAACAAAATATGGCGCTGCGCATCTGCGTGATCTGAGTTTAACATCATTGCACGGAAGTCTACTCATTGAACGCAAAGTGCGCTTTTATCGGTCCTTTGATACTATGCCGTAAAAACTTTGTATTTGAAATTTCATCGGCTTTTCTTTGACTATGTTACTTCGTATCGAGCAATCGAGCCGCAATCAATCCGTTGTTGAACATGACACAAGCCTTTGGCAAATAATCTTCGCCGTTATTATTAGACCACAAAAGGTATTTCGGTCATTTTTTATCATCATAAATAATAAGGAGTCCCAGTTTGGTCGGCGTCTGAATTTGAAATTTTTCGCGCATTTCAATCAGAAATGGCTATGAGCGTGGCAAAGTGGCGGTCGAATAAAATTGCGGATTACTGTGAAAATGCAATTCGCGAATGGACACTGGTGCGCGTAGTCTGGTTAAAAGGGTCACGGCCATGTGTTCATTAGAAATAGATCTCTTCAGAGCGCACACTTCAACTCGCACCGTTCGGATGATTATGTTCCAACTAATTTCGCGAGTATTTCTGTGTAGAATTTTTTCACTTGACTTAAATCGCGAATGAATCTTGTGAGTGAATCACTCAGTCGATGAGTATTTTTGCCGAAGAAGAGACACGTGAAGAAACCGATCCTATTTTAAACATCATACTTTTTAAAAAAGAAGTCATTAAAACAAAAACTAAACTAGACTAACGCCCACCAATATCTATTTGAATTTCATGATATACATATATATATATATATATTTATATATATATAAATGCTTCGTTTCAGAGTTCCAAGGAAAGCTTACATCTGAGCGCGACGACAAAGTACATAATAATCCTTCTGTTCCAATGATAGAGACGCGACGAGTTTGAGAAAAATGACCGGTAGCTCTGATAAATGCACATGGCCCACTGCAACGAAAAGCACTCCAGTACGTTTATATATAGATGTAGCGAGTGCTGTCTCGTGCACGTGTTGCGGCGAAAGAGAACTCGCGTTCAAAGCCGAACGAGCGACGCTCTAGAAATATCGCGCGGCGTTTCGTGTGCGCCCTCGTGTTAACTGACGTAAGCTCTCGCGGCTTTTATACATAAGCGTACCTAGACGTGACATAATCCACGGGATGGCGATCCCGAAAACCCACATGTGCGAAGACTCGCTTTGTATATACGTCTGCCTCGCGAAACGGGCAATGGCGTTTAAAGAAAGATACGAGTTCTAATGCACGCGTGTATCTTCGACACATGTTGATTCAAACATTTTTACCAGGCTTTACTTAATTTTCATTGGGGCTTTAGCTTTTCTGGTGAACTCGTTACTTCTCGAAGTTCTTTTTTTATTTTCGCTCATTTTTAAATACCTTCATGCCGGAGTAGACGTCGTGTAAAATTTTCATATGATTTCTCTCTATGATTTTTCAATTTTTTGCGTATGAAAGTCATAACTCTATACAAACTGAAAATGTAATCGACTAGAATAGTAAAAGCTACTAAACATCATTATAATTAATATTAAAGTAAATTGTATAGCAGGTATGTTGAATTAAAGTCAAAAAATGTTAGTTATCTGTATTGTAGTAAAATATGGTATCATGTAATAGTGAAAGTCTCATACTTGATACAATATCGTAATCAGTTTCATGACATTCCTTTCTTTGATATATGTCAGTATTTGGTCGAATTTATATAACTCTTATGCTTATTTGCCCGTTACTATGATAAGAATGAGCTTTAAAATTCATTTCAGTAATATCGAAGCAAACTTATGCGAAAAAAATGCAAAGTTAAAAAAGCTTTTATATATTGTCGGCAAAAGTGAGTGTCGGAACATCTTTATCTGTCGTGCATACGGTGGCGTTCAAGGTTGGCGCTCGTCAGGGCGACACTCGGAATTCGGACAATCCCGGCGCGGCGGCAGAAAGAGAGCTTGCGCAATCTCGTCCACGCCGTACATACAAAACTCTCCGCTTGAATGAAAGGCATATTCCAACTACTTTAGTTTTTTTTCATAAATATTTCAGCGCTCGATAGTTTCATTTCAAATTTGATTATTTTACAGATGCTTAGGACGATTGTAATATAGTCAGTGTTTAATAAAATGACTGAAAATATTAAAGTTTCTAGATAGATCTTCTTAGAAAAGTATCTCACGTAATAATTATAGGTGAATCGAAGTGGTTACAGTAGATTGGAAGCCGTTAATAATAAAACAACTATAAACGGAGCTAAAGTTGTACCAGATTTCTCGGTATTTCATCGGTTGTTACTAATAATACTCTCGCGTTTGAATGCACTTGTTCTATTAGGTCTAGGGACTTAAATAAATAAAGATAAATATTAATAGATAAAGTACTTAAATAAATGTTGATACTTTACATATCAATTAAATTTTTTTTTAAGGTTAAAAGATGTAGGAGATTCTTTGAATTAATTAACCGAACGTAATGGAGTAAATACCATAAAAGATTTACACGATACATTTAATTTATATAATTTCAAAATCAATTTTAATTAACTAAATTAAAATCTGTTATTATCTGTATGTATCTGAAACAATAAGTGAAAATGAACGAAATATTTAAAGATTTTAACTTTTTACATTTTTCTAATGTAACAGCCCTGAGGTGTTTGGAAAAGTCTTTTTTAAGAGTACGTTAGAAATTATGAGCGAACTGGTGATGAATTACATAGATGCCATTCTTTGTGATAAAGGAAACAAACTCACTGATGTAATGTTTAGAAATCATTTATAAATTTCGTTATCCACTCAGATTTACTTATCAACTTTTAAATGACGTCAGTTGAAATCGTTGTAATATATTCCCTTGGTCCATCTATCTCTGTATTTATTTTGTTGCATAAATATTAGGATCATTGTATTCGAACATTTTCACTTTACATTATTACGACAATGATTGGATGTGAATGAAATAACGTATATCATTCGAATAAGAAATTATAAAAATCAATTATTTAATAAATGAATGGATCTCGAGGGAAATTCGTGACACATGAGAGTGTGTCGGCGCGTCATTGAAGGGAGAATAAAAAAGAAGGAATTATAATAAGCAAGCGTTGTCCACAGATACCGAGGCGAGCCGCCACTGCCCAGCAAGCGGTTCCGCGTGGAGGCGCGCGGCAACGTGGTTCAGCTAAGACTGCAGCACACGAGCAGAGATGACGCGGGACATTACGCCCTCGTAGCCAAACGGCTGCCACACGACAACGAATCCGAGCGACTCTTTTCCAGGCGAATCCACATGAGCGTGGACGAGCCTTCGTTTTACGAAGAGGGCGATCCGCCCCTCTTTCTGCGCCGACTTACCGATCTCACTGTTAAGGTCGGCACGAGGACGCGATTCCTCGTCGAAATTCGAAGCTCCACCGATCCTAAGGTCAGCCTTTATTTTTAATTTTATCATTTTACCATACCGTGACGAAGATGTCGTGCTCATTCGCTGCACAGAAAAAATCATCGTGGTGTTCATCTTAGAGAGAATGGTTGTACTTTTATCTTCGCTAAACGATTTATCAAGTTCAGCATTCGATTGCACAAGTGATTTGAGTAAATATCGTTCGAGTTAAATCTGTTCATATTTTATAAAAGAAAATACAGCTCCAGATTGTATTTAATTATAACTCGTCGTAACTCGAGTACAAAGCAGAACCAAAAGGTAACTATCCAATAAAACGTCGCGACCGCGACGATTATATATACCAGAGGGACAAATGTGCGAATTTCACCGAAATCTGGCGATCAGACAGTTCAAAGCACTTCGATTTCCGTGTGTCCGATTAGGGTGTGCCGTAGAGATCGACGAACCGGACAATTGTATATACGAATAGCCGTGGATCTTTGCAAAAACGCGAGGTCTATGAACCTCACCGGACTATTATTACACATTGTTAGGACAGCGGTTGTGCAATAACGCACGCATTGAGGTAGCTTCGGGAATGCGTGCGATTTACGACCGCTCGGCCGGCCGCGCCAGCTTTCGTAACGAATACTCTCGTCGAGGGCGTTTCTGACGTGTATAAATATTTGACGAACGGAGAAAGTAGCTTGAAGCTTCGATCTACGTATGCCAACATGCTCAATTTAGATCTGAATGTTTTCATTTTTATACCATAAGTCATTTATCTAAAATGTTGGTTTTATCTGGATTTGTAACATTTTGAAATAACGACATTTTGAGTGTTTTCATAATATTAAAGTCATAAACGATAATTAATTTATGTTGTAGTCGACTTCGTCTTCTTTCAAGTAACAAAAATAATATTCATTTGTTATAGTACTCAAAATACTGATATAAAACAAGAAATATTTTTTCTTGAAACAGAAATTTCTTCAGATCATAAGTATTATATCACATTGTTAAAATTATACCTCGACTTACTACCTAAGTCTGTCTCGCTCGCAAGCAAAGTTAGATTTATAGTTTGACTGGGCGAGTGTCGCGGCATAGAGGACTACGAGCGAAAAGAAACGAAGCTGAGAAAGATATTAGTCTCGCCGTGTACTAACTTTAATTACGATCTAATTTTAGGTGACTTGGCACAGAAACGATGAGCCGATCCAGGAGGGACCGAGATTCGCCTTTGTGCATGAGGGGAACTTTTATTGCGTTGACGTCGCACCGGTGACCGTTGAGGATCAAGGCCATTGGACTTGTATGGCTGAAAATCGATCGGGTCGATCGTCCTGTACCTCGCACCTGAATGTTCTTGGTAGCCTTTTTATTCATCATAAATAAGCATTATATTCACAAGCCGTATATTGATGTGACGGTTCAATAATTACCTCGTCTAACGTGGCTTTAGTTCCGAAAGCATACAAAAGGCCAGAGTTTATGACGGAACTACGAGCGTTGCTAACCGAGACTGGCACAGTATCATTAGAATGTAAAGTTGTTGGAGTACCGACTCCAGTATTAAAATGGTTCAAAGATGATAAGGAAATTAGGGCTGGAGATGTTTTTGCTTTAACGGCGGATCCAGACGATCCCACGTCTTTGGGAACGTACACATGTGAAGCCGTTAATTGCATGGGTACAGCTTATTCGACATCTCGGGTAATTGATTATTGGTTTGATTATTTGTTTGAAGTGATGTAGTTTTGTGACAATGTAGATTGACATTTAACTACATCAGTTAATTTACATCTTTTGCGTAGGTACACGTTGTTGGAAAGGGAAGTAGAGAAGGATCGCTAAAGCCAGCTGATAGGTTGATTGTAACTGGAGATCCTCCTATTTTCAAAGAGATATTAAAAGATGAATGTTGTAAAATTTCAGAAAAACTTTTTCTATGTTGTCAAGGTAAGAAATTTTCTTATTTCACATAGTACAAAAATTAAATTAACCATTTCAAATATTTCATGCAGTTCAAGTACCACCTTGGCCAAAAGAAATTACGTGGTATAATAAAGAAGGAAAAGTAGAAGAAGGGGAGCGTTACAAAATTATGGAAGATGGACTTGGAGGATATTCTATTCAAGTCAATCCTACGGAAGCAGTAGATGAAGGCGAGTGGAAATGCGTTGCCACCAGTGCCGAAAATGTTAAGCAGTTTACGACGTGTTTTGTTGCAATGTCCAGTAAGAAACTTACTTTTTGTTGATCAATTCACCAATTGTAAAATTATTTTACATGATTTTGTCACAATACAAATAAATTGTGTTGGTAGTTCCAAAAAATTACAGACAGCCTCGCTTTATGGAGAGCTTGAAAGCAGTATTGACGGAAGAAGGTTTAGTGTCATTCGAATGCAAAGTGGTTGGTTTTCCAACACCTTTATTAAGGTGGTTCAAAGATGGACAGGAGCTGAAACCTGGTGATGTCTATCAACTTACTGGAACTAATTCATTAGGTAATATTGTCATAAATGTAGTGAATATTATAACCCGAAAGTTATTGATTCTCTGAGGTATAATTCAAATTTTCAGGGTCTTATTGTTGTATTGCTAAAAATTGCATGGGCGAAGCCAAAAGTACGGCTGAACTAACTGTGGAAGATATACAAAATCAATTAAATGAAGAAGAACGGTTACAACTTTTGACAACAAATCAACCACCGAAATTCATTAAGGGCTTACGAAGCAGTGAAGCTAAAATAAATGAAAATTTTAAATTTACTGTTCAAGGTAAGATATTCAACAGATTTAGTAATATTTTATTGCAAAATAGTTCTTTTATAATGACACTGAATGACATTTTTAACGTCGCAGTCAGTGTCATACCTGAACCAAGTTTAGCTTGGTATCGAGATGATCATCCTATAGATAGCGAAGACCGATATAGGATAGAAAGAGAAACTCTTGGAATTTGTCATTTGGACATCCAGACGCTCGAGTTTTGTGATCAGGCCGAATGGAGATGTGTTGCCAGCAATAATTTTGGTCAAAGCGTGACTTCGTGTTTTCTTAAACTTATCATTCCAAAGCACTTCAAGAAACCTACATTTTTGGAAAACTTGCGTGCTATTCTATCGGATGGTGGCGCTGTAAATCTAGAATGTAAAGTTATTGGTGTACCACAGCCAGTTTTGAAGTGGTATAAAGATGGTGAAGAACTTAAACCAGGTGATATTCACAGAATTATATCTGGTCAAGATGGCACTTGTTGTTTGGGTACATATACATGCGAAGCAACTAATTGCATGGGAACTGTTAGTAGCTCTGCTTCTCTTCTTGGGTTTGAAGGTAGTTTGGAAAAATAAAATTTGGCTGAAAAAGTTGACTTTGCTCATTAAATATTCTACCTCATATCTTTCAGATCGGGCTTCCTCACCTCGAATTTTAGATGGAAACTTACCAATAATATCTCATGTAGATGAACGTGAACTTGCACGCAATCTGTCTTTATCTACAATTCACGAAGAAAGGACGTCACAACTCATGGATACTGCTCAAACTGATTCCGTTACGATTGATGACCGTGGTGAAGTATCATTTAGTTTTGATGGAAAAGATGTTTCCGTTAGTCTTTACGAAACTCCAGATCTTACTGAAGAAGAAGCGTTGCAAATTGTAGAAATGTATGCTGATCAACTATCTGAACACATATCAGGTTTGTAAAGTTTAAATTGATGTATCGTGTATTTATTTTACATTTTCGAACTAAATTTTAATTGTTTTTTGTAGAACATAATGTTGTAGAACTACCACCAATGCGTTTTGTAAAAGAAACTTCTACTTCTGGTAATTTATTGATGGAAGCTGTAGTAATAGATGTTTCACCAGATTACTTTGTTAGTCTTGAAGAAGGGGATGATTTACGTACAGAAGCTGATATTGAAGATATATCAATGATTGAAGGAACTTCTTTATCGTCTCCACAACTTACAGAATTATCGGATGATAGTAAAATACCAACGCGACCTGCAAGACGGAAGTCCAGTAGCGTTTCATCAAAAATATTTGAAACTCAAGAATCAGAAAGTTATCACAGTGCGAATGAACCTGTTGTATTACTGGACCAAGATATTGACGATTTCGATATGGATATAGATATTGATAGTGAAGCATTTGTAGATGCTATTTCATCGGCTCGGACGAAGTATGAAAGTATGGCAGTAGATGAAAAAATGCGAAAAGAAATGCGTAAAAGGAGTATAAGTGGAGGTTCTAGTCTTGAAAATGGAGATTCATCCCTAGATTCGGCTTCTGGGATTCTAAAAAAGAAACATAAAGGAGAAAAGAAGTTAAAGAAACAACAATTAGGTGAAAAAGAAAGTTCTGAAGAGTCTACTTCGGCAGGTAAAGATGAGTATCAACATAAAGATCTTTTAGAAAATAAAGTTTCTTTTATGAATGACGAAGAACAAGAAGTCGAACGACCATCTTCGCGAACAAATAAGGAGAGACTTGTTCATTTGTTGCGTCAAATTGCCGATCCTGTATTGATTCTTAGAGAAGCTTTAATAGATTCCGATTTCCTTTTGGAGGACGACAAATTGATTGATATATTTGTGACGGATAACGTAATAAATCCGATACAAAATCTTTGTGAACTTATAGCTGCTATTGAAGAAAAAGCTTTGAAGAGCGCTGGCGACAGATCATTGATTCAAACTGTACGTATTTCGATACTTGAAACTATCGGTGGTCCTACTGAAGAACTGTTAAGAGGATTGGAATTATTGCGAAGACAAGAAAATGATGGTACAATCCATTTGAATCTGTCAATCCTCGAGTCTTTAGTAGATCCTGTCGATGAGATTCTATTTGGGTTAGCTAAATTGGAAAATGAATTGTCAGGACGCAATACGAGTGAAAGTCCTGTTGTCTTGGAAAGAGCTATTCGAACTACTGATAGACTTGGTAAAACATTAAAAGAAATAAATGTAGACGTAGATTCTACAATGCTCACAGCACTGAATACAATTTATCGAACGTTGGGCGCATATTTGAGTGAAATACCTTTGAATCAAGTAAGTAAACTTAAAAAAATTGACTTTGAAAATCTTAATAATAAGATTTGTATTAACATTATGAATATTCTATTGTTTAGTTTGGAGGATGGACCGAAAATATAGATGCAGTACTAGTAGAATCACTCGCACGTCCTTTAGAGGATTTACAGCGGTCTTCAAAATATGCCATTTGTGGAGAAATTTCCAAAGATAGTCCTGAGATAACGTTAAAAATGTCAGATGCATTTAATGAAATTCTTTCACGTCTAGATGCACTTGTTGTTGCATTGGAAGGATATGAAAGCGACCCTAGAACCACATTTGTAGTGAATTTAAAAACTTCACTAGTAACTGCAGCAGAAGAATTGAATAAATTTGAAGCTGAAAGATCTGAAAGTATTGAGGAACCAATTAGTTTTCCTGAAGTCATTCTTGACAATCTCATTGACACACAGTCAGCTGTTAATACTGTCTTGCATGAGGTTGAAGCAGTTGTGGAAGAAACGCAAGCGAAACTTCCGCAAACTTCTGAACTAGCATCGTGTCTTGCAGAACTACGGGAAGCTGTTTCATATGCAGTTCATAAAGCCACTACACTGAGAAAAGATGACGCGATGGTAGCTTTAATAAAATTAAAAGTTCCATTGACTAATTTACAACTGTTTCTTACTGCTGATCAAATACCTGAAGAGGTGCCAATAATTAAAAATATTATGAACCCTCTTAATTCTATAGAAAGTGTTTTACAATCTGTTGTGCAATACGTTGAGAGAACCGAATCGCATGACGAATTCATAGATTTGATGAAGCCTATTTATACAATTGTTGAAGAATTAAAGCAACAAATCCCAGTTATTGTAAATGAACTAGAAAAAAATGAACAAAAAGATGTTTTCCATGAAATTACCGATAATAATTCTATAAGTTCTATGCAACAGATGATTAATAGCTTACAAATGGCTTCTGAATTGAGTACAGTGTATTTTGAGCTTGCTAATATTTTAGAAAAATCTCAAAATATTGCAGATATTAAAACATCTATATTTGATAAAATTAGTGAAGTGACTCAAAGCATTGGAAACACTACTGTATCAATAGATAAAATATCGTCAAGTATTAATCCGAACGTTGAAGAACTTATAGAAGAGTTATTAAATTTAAAAGTACCATTACTCAAATTACAAAATGCTTTGTTGACTGAAGATAGTACATTGGACGAACAAAAAATTATAGCTGAATTATTGAAACCATTAGAAAGGTACATATATAATTGACTTTCTTGATTTAATTGATATTTAATTGATCTGTATTAAAACTTTCTCAATTTTCAGATTAGAAACCGTCGTAACTAATTTTGAACAAGAAATAGTCCAATCAGAAGCTTTAAATTCAGTCATCAATTTAGTAGAAGATATAAAAGCACATATAAATCTCCATCCTAAAATTTCTACTCACAGTCCTACTGAAGAAATTTTCGACATCCAATCTGAAAGCTATGTTTCTGTTGACTTTAAACCAGAATATTCGGAAAAGGAAGTTAAACTAAAAGATGTGAAGAGTACTCCCATTTCTGAAAAAGCACTGGTAACCGCTTCTGATTCTTTGCTTTACAAGATACAATCTGAAGATTCATCCAGTTTAGAACAATTTCAAGCTTCTAAAATAACTAAAGAAACTGCCCAAGAATTAGTCCATTCCGATATTTCTACTGATTCGCTACTGGATAGGGAGTCTGAATTGTCTATGGATTCGCCCGATCAAATTCGTAGAAAATTTGAGAAAATCCATGATAAACATGTAATATACCCAAAAGAAGAATTTGCGTTTACAATATCTAAATCTCTTGAACAAATTCAAGAAGATATTTTAGGGATTTTAGAAGAATTTGAGCAGGAATCTGTAACCATGCCTCAGCCTGTTTCTCGACTGGCGGAAGCTCTTGAACATTTAAGGAGAACAATTGGTACAGTTCATTCTAATGTTTTGCAAATTGCTGTTGAGACATCGGGTGTAACTGTTGAGTTATCCCAAGGAGAACTTAATGAGAGCTCAGAAAGAATTTCCTTGTCATTAAAAGAATTATTACAGCCAATACTAGAAGTTCGGGAAGCTTTAATTCAAACGCAAGACCATAGAGCTCCGGAACTACTTCTTTTATATCGCTTAGATCAACCAATTCGTGCGATTGAATTTAATGTTTTACATCTTGCATTAGAAGCTCACTCGTATACTATAGAAAGTGAAGAAACATCAAGTAGAGCAAGTTTGGATGCGATGGCTCGTGCTCTAGAAGACATAGAATCTCAAATACCTGTGGCTTTAGATGAAGTTAATTTACGTCAAGAAATGTTAACTACTCTGAGCAGTGTTTCGAAGCCACTTGAAATTATTAGAGAAAGAATGATTGAAATATCAAACGATAAATTGAACGAAGATAATTTAGAACGTGATATTGTAAATATACTTGATGAACCTATTAATAAGTTTACGAACGCTTTGAATGAATTATTTAACCGATTGAACTCTATTGAGCCTTATGATGACCGAGATAGAGAATGTATTTTGAATCTAAAATATTTGGTTGAACCATTATTAGAATTACAAAGTTCAATATCGGTTGTAAGAAGTTGCAGAAGAACTTCAATCACGGAAGCGGGATTGTTTGATGAAAGAAAAAATGTTATTTTACGAGCTATGGAAGAAGTACGATTAGGTATCGATGCTATTAATAGCAAAGTATGCGAAACTAATCATTTGAGTTCATCAGAAAAATTGATATTATCTTCAATAAATGTATTACACACAGCAATCGTTTCTGTCCAAAATCAAATTAGGTAAATATTTGATAATAGTAATAGATATAATTTTCAATAATCTTATTATTTAGTCATATATTTTCAACGATCATAAAGAGAAAATTGACATATTTGTTTCAAATCTTTTAGACCTGGCTGAATTATCAAAAATGTATACATCCTATTTTGAGTACATAATTTAATTAAAATCTTTCAATTTCAGCAAAGCCAGTCAGCCACGTAGAAACAGTTGTTTGAAATCTTTACAAGAAAGGACGATTCACCCATTGCAACATCTTGAACAAAAAATTACAATGATCGAAGAACAAATGGACAATTCAACATTAAATTTCATTTTGGAGCCTTTAGAAACGTTTCAAAAGCAAATTCATTTATCTCAAACTCAAACGTCTGATCAAATTATGGATGAAGAAGCAATAATTGAAGGATTTCTGTATCCTGCAAAGCATTTATTGTCATCATTAGAAGCCGTAAAAGAAAACAATAGTTTTATTATCCAAGATAGTGCCAAAATACTTTTGCAAGAACTTGGAGAATGTACTTCAAATCTTAGTTCGACTTTTTCAGTACTACAGAAAGAATTAATACAGGAAGGGGCTGATGAAAATGCGTCCGTTATTGAAACTTTGACAGCAGTTTCTATGCCTCTCAGTAATATTAACCAATTAATAACTGAAATATCAAACAATTCTAACAAAAAAGTATCCACGGTGAAACAGATTCAAACAATTGAGTCTGGAGAAAGTTCGGATAGACAGCTTCATCAAACAGGGGAAAAAGAAGTCAACAAAGGGAAAGACGATTATGAACAAAAAAAAGAAGGTGAAAAAGTACCAACCGTACTAACAACTGTGGAAACAATAGTGGATGAATTTATTGAAGTATCTAAACGAGAAACTGAGAGTTTTACTACGTTAAAGTTTGCAACCGAAGATAATCTTGGTGATGACATTAAATGTTTTGATGATGAAGTTGAAAAAATACATCTGACAAAAGCAGAAAATGTAGGTCAACAAGCAAAAATAAATGAAGTATTACAAAGCAATGTCATCGATCCTGTGGAATCTGCAACAGATTTTATAATAGAAAGACGAGATAGTATTACAGCATTGTGGTCATTAATAGATGAGCCATTGAACAATTTACAGCAATCTATTTCTTTTATTATTGATAATCCTACTATCATCGAAAAAATAAAAAGGGAGAAGTCCGATCAAGATAATTTAGTTATAGAACGACTTAATAATTTAAAAGAATCTATTGGACTTATGCAAGAAGTAGCATCTGAAAGTACCGAAGAGATCACATTGGCATCATGGCAAGAAAATACTTCACCAGTACTACAAAATTTAGCATTATCTTTGGAGAATTTAGGAGAACATTTACCTTCTTTAGCTAGTCAGAATATATTATTCCAAGATGATACATCATGTGTAGAGAAAATACCCGCTAGTAATAATGTTGTTAAAGCATTAAAAACATTGATAATACCATTACGAGAGCTGAAAGAGCGTTTGAGCTTGATAATAGAGGAGAAACCTGTATATGAATCAGAAATTATTCAATTACAAGCTGACATATCTAGTACATTGGAATATGATCAAAATGATGAGTACGATAAAGAATACATTCCTTTTCAAAATGTAGTAGTAAGCAAAGAGATTGTATTTACAAAGGAAAACGTTGAAAAAATTTCAGCAGAAACGCAGAAACAAGAAATACACAATATTGTATCTCCAATGTCAGAAATGAATCAGAATAAATCAGAGGTACTGCAGAAGAAGATATCTGAATATGAAGATGAAGAGGAAAGAATTAAGGAAAATATAGATAATATACTTTCAGAAAAAGATGCATTTGTAGAGGACATAATGACGGGAAATATTGTAGAAAATATCGATCAAAAAACAATAACTTGTTTAAAAATGGCTTCTGAATTGAGCACAGTGCATTTTGAATTTGCTACTATTTTAGAAAAATTTGCAGCAATTTCGAGTTTAGAAACATCTCCTATATTTGCTAAAATTAGTCAAGTGAGACAAAGTATTGGAAATGCTGCTGTATCAGTAGACAAAATATCGTCAAGCGCTAATCCAAATGGTGAAGACTTCTTAGAAGAGTTATTGGATTTAAAAGTACCATTACTTAAATTACAAAATGCTTTATTGATTGAAGATAGTACATTGGATGAACAAAAAATTATTGTTGAATTACTGCAACCCCTAGAAAGGTAATATATAATTAACTTATATTTAATTGACACAAATATTAAAATTTGCAATATTTTTAGATTGGAAGGTGTCATAATTAACTTTGCAGAAGAAATAGTTCAATCGGAAGCCATAGATTCAATCATGAATTTAGTAGAAGATATAAAAAAAGATATCGTTCTTCACATTCGAATTCCTGCTCATAATGTTATTGACAAGGAATTTCAGTTACCAGAATATGAAGGTAAAGTAGAGTTCATAGATGAAAAAATAAAGTATAATATAGAATATATGCCTTTAATTAAACACATTTTTGTAGATGAAGTAATAGCAGAAAATATTGAACAAAATATCGATAAAGATGGAAAAGCACAAGAATTATTTGAAGCATTGTTAATCGAAAATGTTCAAACTCCACAATTTGAAACTGTAGCTAAAACAGAAACAAAAATGGAGCAAACCACAGTACTTGAGGACATAGATGAGTCTGATCTTATTGTAGGAAAAGATATAACAAATATATTGGATAATACAAATGTAGTGATGAAAGTAGGAAAAGAACAATTAAGTGCTGTATCAACGATATCGTCAGATACTGAAGTCATGCAGGTGGCCTTTGATTTGATTTCAAGAAAAGAGGCAGAAATTGTTGAGCACATATCAGATTTTGATAATCAAGTCAAATCTATAGTAGAAGAGCTAGACGTAAGAAGTGCTTTAGAATTGGAGGAAGAAACTGCAATTCGAAGAAAATCAAATATTGTAGAAGAGCAAAAAGATGTAACCGAGGAATCTCTACATGTCCAAAAAGTTTCGAAACAATGTGAAATCGAAGAAGAAAGTATATTTACAATGGAACATGGTAAGAATTTTGCAGCCGATATAATAAAACAAGAAGCACAAATTGTATCGTTAACAATATTAGAAGGAAGCGAATCAGAAGTAATAGAAAAGCAGTTATCTGAATATAAAGATGCTCTGAATTTAGCAAATGAAGAAATAAAGGAAAATATAGAAGAGACGTCTTTAAAAGAACATGTATTTGTAGATGAAATAATGGAAGAAAATAATGTCCAGGATATGAACCAAGATAAAAAAGTGTTTCAAATTGGTCAGCAAATGATAGAAGAACCGTTAATTGAAAAAATTGAAACCACACAAATTGAAACAATGATTGCACCAGACACAGAGATAGATGAAATAATAACCATCAAAGGCTCTGAGTTATTAGCAGAAGATTTAACCAGTGAATCAGAAAAAGCAAATGTAATGATGCAATCGGGACTAAATATTGCATCGATAACGCAAAATATCGATACCGACGTGATACAGAAAGTCACTGATTCGACTTCAAAAGAAGTGGTAGAAACTGTTGAGCACATGACAGATTTTGATAATCAAATCGCACCTGTAGTAGAAGAGACAGACGTTAGAACTGCCACAGAATTGGAGAAAAATATTACATTTCGAAGGAAATCGAACTTTACAGAAGAACAAAAAGCTGTAATTGAGGAATTTCCGCTTGTACAAAACGCTTCAAAAAGTTATGCACCACTGATTGAAGAAGAAATTTCTACCGATATAGAAAAAGAAGATAGGAAGCTTGAAAAAGATGAAATACAGTTGAATAAAGAAGAGCAATTATACAAAGATAAAGAAAGGAAGGATGAAAATATATCACGAAATGTAGGCAAAGAGGAAGATAAGTTAAGTAGGGATATAGAGAAAACAGACAAGTCGTGGGAAGAAGATAAGAAAATTATGCAAATTGAAAATACAGAGAAATTAAAAGAAGAAGCAGACAGCAAAAAATCTGAAGAATCGGATAAATTAAGAAAAAAAGAAGAGAAGTATGAAACAGATGGGAAGAAAGAGAAATTGAAGAAAGAAGAAAAACAATGCCTTAAGTCTGAGGAAGAACAGCTATTGGGAGAAAAAGAAGAGTATAAAATAATAGAGGAGAAAAAGAAATTCAAACTAAAAGGATTCGATAAGACAGAGGAAGAAGATGAATTCAAAGAAAAAAAAGAACAAAAAATAACGGAGGAAACGAAACTATTCAAAGAAGAAAAATACGAAAAAGCCGAAGAATCAGAGAGATTAAAGAAAAAAGAAGAAAGTGAAAATGCCGAGGAACTAAAGAGATTAAGGAAAGAAGAGCAACGAATGAAAAAAGAAGGAAATATAAAGACAGTAGAGGATGATGGATTCAGAAAAGATGAAGATGAGCATGATAAAATGGAGGAAGCAGAACAAGCAAACAAAGAAAAAGATGAATTTATACAAGCGGAAGAAGCAGAAAGTTTGAGAAATGAAAAAGATGAGCATAAGAAAGTGGAGGAATCAAATAGGTTGAGAAAAGAGGATGAGAGTAAGAAAGCGGAGGAGATTGAAAGACTGAGAAAAGAAGAAGAACGTAAAAAATTAGAGGAAGAGGAAAGATTGAAGAAAGAAGAAGAAGACAATAAAAAAATGGAGGAGGCGGAGCGAGCAAGGAAAGAAGAGGACCGTAAGAAAGCGGAAGAGGAAGAGCTAGCAAGCAAAGAACAGGATCAAGGAAAAGCGGAAGAAGGAAGGTTAATAAAAGAGGAAGAACGCAAAAGGTTAGAGGAAGAAGAAAGATTGGAAAAAGAAGAAGAGGATCGTACGAAAGCGGAAGAAGCAGGAAGGTTGAGAAAAGAGGAAGAACGCAAAAAGTTGGAAGAAGAAGAAAGATTAAAGAAAGAAGAAGAGGACCGCGAGAAAGCGGAGGAGGTTGAAAGGTTGAGAAAAGAGGAAGAACGCATAAAGTTAGAGAAAGAAGAAAGATTGAAGAAAGAAGAAGAGGACCGTGAAAAAGCGGAGGAGTTTGAACGGTTTAGAAAAGAGGAAGAACGCAAAAAGTTGAAGGAAGAAGAAAGATTAAAGAAAGAAGAAAAGGATCGTCTAAAAGCGGAGGAGGTTGAAAGGTTGAGAAAAGAGGAAGAACACAAAAAGTTGGAAGAAGAAGAAAGATTGGAAAAAGAAGAAGAGGATCGTACGAAAGCGGAAGAAGCAGAAAGGTTGAGAAAAGAGGAAGAACGCAAAAAGTTGGAAGAAGAAGAAAGATTAAAGAAAGAAGAAGAGGACCGTGAGAAAACGGAGGAGGTTGAAAGGTTGAGAAAAGAGGAAGAACGCATAAAGTTGGAGGAAGAAGAAAGATTAAAGAAAGAAGAAGAGGATCGTCTAAAAGCGGAGGAGGTTGAAAGGTTGAGAAAAGAGGAAGAACGCATAAAGTTGGAGGAAGAAGAAAGATTAAAGAAAGAAGAAGAGGATCGTCTAAAAGCGGAGGAGGTTGAAAGGTTGAGAAAAGAGGAAGAACGCATAAAGTTGGAGGAAGAAGAAAGATTAAAGAAAGAAGAAAAGGATCGTCTAAAAGCGGAGGAGGTTGAAAGGTTGAGAAAAGAGGAAGAACACAAAAAGTTGGAAGAAGAAGAAAGATTGGAAAAAGAAGAAGAGGATCGTACGAAAGCGGAAGAAGCAGAAAGGTTGAGAAAAGAGGAAGAACGCAAAAAGTTGGAAGAAGAAGAAAGATTAAAGAAAGAAGAAGAGGACCGTGAGAAAACGGAGGAGGTTGAAAGGTTGAGAAAAGAGGAAGAACGCAAAAAGTTGGAAGAAGAAGAAAGATTAAAGAAAGAAGAAGAGGACCGTGAGAGAACGGAGGAGGTTGAAAGGTTGAGAAAAGAGGAAGAACGCAAAAAGTTGGAGGAAGAAGAAAGATTAAAGAAAGAAGAAGAGGACCGTGAGAAAGCAGAGGAGGTTGAAAGATTAAGAAAAGAGGAAGAACGCAAAAAGTTGGAGGAGGAAGAAAGAGTAAAGAAAATAGAAAGATTAAAGAAAGAAGAAGAGGACCGCGAGAAAGCGGAAGAGGTTGAAAGGTTGAGAAAAGAGGAAGAATGCAAAAAGTTGGAGGAAGAAGAGAGATTAAAGAAAGAAGAAGAGGATCGTCTAAAAGCGGAGGAGGTTGAAAGGTTGAGAAAAGAGGAAGAACGCATAAAGTTGGAGGAAGAAGAAAGATTAAAGAAAGAAGAAGAGGATCGTCTAAAAGCGGAGGAGGTTGAAAGGTTGAGAAAAGAGGAAGAACGCAAAAAGTTGGAGGAAGAAGAGAGATTAAAGAAAGAAGAAGAGGATCGTACGAAAGCGAAAGAAGCAGAAAGTTTGAGAAAAGAGGAAGAACGCATAAAGTTGGAGGAAGAAGAAAGATTAAAGAAAGAAGAAGAGGATCATCTAAAAGCGGAGGAGGTTGAAAGGTTGAGAAAAGAGGAAGAACGCAAAAAGTTGGAAGAAGAAGAAAGATTAAAGAAAGAAGAAGAGGACCGTGAGAGAACGGAGGAGGTTGAAAGGTTGAGAAAAGAGGAAGAACGCAAAAAGTTGGAGGATGAAGAAAGATTAAAGAAAGAAGAAGAGGACCGTGAGAAAGCAGAGGAGGTTGAAAGGTTAAGAAAAGAGGAAGAACGCAAAAAGTTGGAGGAGGAAGAAAGAGTAAAGAAAATAGAAAGATTAAAGAAAGAAGAAGAGGACCGCGAGAAAGCAGAAGAGGTTGAAAGGTTGAGAAAAGAGGAAGAACGCAAAAAGTTGGAGGAAGAAGAGAGATTAATGAAAGAAGAAGAGGACCGTGAGAAAGCAGAGGAGGTTGAAAGGTTAAGAAAAGAGGAAGAACGCAAAAAGTTGGCGGTAAAAGAAAGATTGAAAAAAGAAGAAGAGGATCGTATAAAAGCGGAGGAGGCGGAACAAGCAAGAAAAGAAGAAGAGAACCTTAAGAAAGTGGAAGAAGCAGAGAGGTTGAGAAAAGATAAAGATGAGCGCAAGAAAACGGAGGAGTTAGAAAAATTGAGAAAAGAAGAAGAGGATCATAAAAAAGCAGAGGAGGCAGAGCGAGTAAGGAAAGAAGAAGAGGACCGTAAGATCGAAGAAGAAGCAAAAAAGTTAAGGAAAGAAGAAGATGATCGCAAGAAAACGGAAGAGTTAGAAAGGTTGAGAAAAGAAGAAAAACGTAAAAATTTGGAGGAAGAAGAAAGATTAAAGAAAGAAGAAGAGGATCGCGAGAAAGCGGAGGAGGTTGAAAGATTAAGAAAAGAGGAAGAACGCAAAAAGTTGGAGGAAGAAGAAAGATTGAAACAAGAAGTAGAGGATCGTAAGATTGTAGAAGAAGCAGAACGAATAAAGAAAGATGAAGAGGACCGTAAAATAGCAGGAGAAGCACGAAGGTTGCGAAAAGAAGTTGAGCGTAAGAAAGCGGAGGAGGCGGAGCAATTGAGAAAAGAAGATGATCGCAAGAAAACGCAGGAGGCTGAGAGATTAACACAAGAAGAAGATAAGCGTAAGATAGAAGAAGATGCAGAGAAATTGAAGAAGAAGATGAAGATAGAAGAGCGTAAGAAGCAAGAAGAAGCATTGTGGATTCGCATTCGGAAGCCGTTAAATAAATTAGACGATTCTATTACAAAATTTTTATCCAACCCGTCTATGGTGGAAGTAATATTAAAATCTGAAAGTGTCTCAAGGGATAAACATGAAATTTTACAGTGTTTGAATGATTTAAAATCATCAGTATCGACTTTAAAAGATATCGATAATGATAGTACCAATTTCTTTAACGAACCGTGGCAAGTAATAAGCCTGCCAGCTTTACATAATTTAGGTAAAACTTTTGGGTCTCTAGTTAATATGTTACCTTTATTAGCAGAAAAAGGGAATGTTTCTCAAACCACAGCTTCAGAAATATTGAAATCCGATGAAAATACTGGGTTAATAAATGCTTTAAAAATATTAATAATACCGTTAGAGCAACTAAGCGAGTGCTTCAGTATAATAATAGAAGAACAAAAAGATTTCGAGAGACTTAACAATAAAGAAAAAGGAACTAAAATAAAAGAAGAAAAAGATTTTGATAAAATTTACGAAGAACGAGAACCTCAAGAAATCAATAAATCAGAAAAAATTGAAAAACAATGCAATCGGGAGGAAAAAATGGAGAAATTGAAAAAAAAAAAAGAATCTTTAAAAGAAAACCAAGAGCAAATTCAAAAAGAAAAAGATGTTTCAGATTTAAAAGAAGTAATCGATCGTCAAAAAGGAGAAATGCTTAAAAATATTGATAAAGAACGGCAAGACAATGTGGAAAATAAAATCCAAGAATCTCAAAATCAACATGGTTTTAAGAATAATGAATCCAAAATATCGTTGGAACAAAATAGAGAATCTAAGAAAAAGAAAGACACAAGAACTAATGAAAAGATAGATATCAAAGATGCTAGGGAAGAAAGTACTATAAATACTGATAAAATAAAACAGAAAAAAATAATAAAATTAGAAGAAGATGAAGATGGTTATTCTAAAAAATTAAATGATATATGTCGTCGATCAAATAGCTCTTTGAAACCGGAAGAAAAGAAAGAAAGTGACTCCATTTCTTATGGTATTGCAGAACGTACTGTTCAGTCAATCAACCGCAGTTCTATATTTGACAAAAGTTTTTCGAGCAGAGAATACAGCACATCTAGTTCCGAATCGCTTTGTAAAAAACACTTTATTGTAGACAAAGATTGTTCCATTAAACTGCATTATAAAAAACCTACACTACCAGATATCTCTAAATCGAAGTTTGATCCTGCTTTGGAACTAAGTCACTTTAGATCTAAAAGAAAAACGAAATCAAGTTCTAGAGAAGATCTGTTACATCGAGACTATGATCTAAAATCATCTCATCCGTCACTATATGCCGGTACAAGCATTCCAGACTTGACTGCAATCAAGAAAAGTCCTTACAGTTTTGATTATGGTAAAAAATACAGTACTCTTTCCACATCTTGGTTAAATTTAGATATAGATTCTACAAAACGAATTCGCGCACAGTCATATGATGTTTTAAAGAAAGAATTTGATCACCCTACATATAAGCCTAAGTCATTCCAAAGTAGCGATTATTCAATGTCAGTATCAGATAGCTTGGCCCTTAGTAGGTCTCGTAGAAGATTCGAATCAAGAAAAGCTGCTATTTATAATTGCGATTCAGAATCTAAATTTTCATCGCAAAATAAAACTCTTGATGTAAGTTTATTAAACAATTACTATCATTGATATTGTCACTGTTAATTAATATTTATTATTTTGTAGCGTGGCAGGGGTCCAATATTCTGTACTAGACTGACGAACTGTACTGTTGCTGAAGGATCTCACGTGAGATTAATCTGTACAGCCGTTGGTCAACCGGAACCACAAGTTTATTGGACAAAGAATGGAGATAGAGTGAGACAAAGTGGGCGAGAACGCATAAGATATGAAAATGGAATGGCAACGTTAGAGATTACATCTGCTGAGCTTGAAGATTCTGGATATTACACTTGTGTAGCAAAAAATTCTTTCGGGCAGTCAACAACGGAAGCTACAGTAAGAGTTTATTCAATTTATCAACCGTCATCTTCGGGGCCAACATTTACCTCTCCGATAACTGGTATACTAATGTTTTTTTACTTGAATGCTATATGAACAAATTTTAGATCTTAGATTTGAATCAAATATTGTTTTAGATAAATACAAACGGTCTGACGGAGAGTTGGTTTTGGAAACTCGTGTACGAGGACAGCCTACGCCAACAGTGTCATGGCTTAAAGACGAGCAACTTTTACGGGGTGATCGGTATAGGCAATCGTTACCTGGTGACGGCTTTTACCGTCTGCATATTTCGGATGTTGATCCTTCAGATAGTGGACAATACGTTTGTAAAGCAACAAGCGATTCGAGTACCGATCGAATTCGACATACTGTTCACTTTGATGGTATTTATTATTCATAAAATGATTTAGTAATTTCATCTTGATCATATTTCTTCTGGGATTTTGCAGAATATGAAACGCGAAAACCGCGACGACGAAAAGACGAATACTATTTCGATACTCGATACTACGGAATAAGTAAAGAACATGATAAGCTTCCTCAAATTTCGACTTCCCTTTCCGATTATAAGGTTCCTGCTGGTGGTACAATTGCTTTACAAGTTGAAATAAAGGGTATTGATCACGTTCAAAATATTACATTACTTATATTATTTTATTATACTGTTATGAAAGTTTCTTTTTTTCAGATACTCGCCCTTCAAGCGTAACATGGCTGCGTGACAGAGGTGAAAATAAAGAACCAGTTCTTCATCCAAAAGTTAAAACTTTTGCTGAGTCTGGAGTTTATACGCTAGTAGTACCTGAGGCAACTGAATCCGAAGCTGGCACTTACGTCTGTCGCATAAGCAATGCCTATGGACATGTTGATACCAGTGCAACTGTAGAGGTCATTCCGTCTAGCAAGTTTGACGATCACGGAAAACCAGCCATGTTTGTCGCACGTCCTGTTGAGAAATTTATAAATATTATGGAAGGAGAGACTGTATCTGTGTCTTTTAGAATTAGTGGAATACCAAAGCCTAGAGGTTAGTACTTTTTATGAAATTACCAAGTTGTTAGTCAATATTTATGACAATATTAAAATATAGATCTAATATTAATTGGGTTATTGAGAATAATAATAATAATAATAAGAATATAATAAGTGCTTAACTTTTTTACATATAGATGATGTGTAAAAAAATTAAGTATATTATTAGTAGATTAGGACACACATTTTTCTATTAGTTGTGCGTGTCAATTTTGTAATTGATTTCCTATTTCTTAGTCGTATGGATGAAAGGTATACGAGACATAACAGATGGACCACGATCGCATAAGGAAATAATCGACGACTACGTTAGATTGTCATTGAATAGAGTGAATCCGGAGGATGAAGGAACCTATTGTATTCTTGTAAAAAATTTATATGGCTGTGATAGAACTTTCTTCACAATTAAGGTTACAATCACTTTTATCTGCGTTGAATTATTTTTCACGTTTAATACTTTGACGATGGAAAATGAATTACTAAAATAGGTAAAGCAAAGAGCAAGATCATTGACACCAACGGCGGAAAGGTTAAGTTTGTCGGATCGTCTTTCTGACATACACATAAAGGAGCAAGAGTCGTATCTTAAAAGTAAGTATTACGTTATCTTTATTCGTATCGCGCATCCTGCAAATTGGCACGAAATGCAAATAATTTTTCAAACATGATCGACCGCATTATATCGGCAAGTTATTTGGATCGCGTGTTGTTGCATGCCACCTCGCGAATGAGGTCAAAATAACTAAAAATTATGGTCCTGAGCTCCCACGCTGGTAAATCGAGGCAACCCCCTTGCGACACTATTTTCGGATTCTAGTTTCTCCCCGCCTCGCATCGCCCAAGAGTTGAAGCGCGTAAGCAATTTTGAAATTCAGTTCACCGCGCGCGCGCTCCAATTACAAGTCTGACTTTCGGACGTTTTACAATTATTCTTTTTTCTCTTGCTATCGTTAATGTTGTTCCTCTCAGTGAACCGCACTTGGTTTATTTTGTGTATTGTTGGGGACTGACTGTTTGATGGAACAATGAGTTTCGATGCCAATAGTTTCGCTGACGATCAGCGATTGATTGACTCGAAGGAAAAATTAGTTAAGAGACTGAAGTTGGCTTGGTACAATAGAAATAATTCTGACTTAGAATTACTAAGTTATCAAGGTACAATAGAAACTTTCGTTCATCTTGTCAATTTAGTACATATCTTTTTTATCTTTATCATACAATTTGAAGCAACTTGCAATATTGTCTATTACGTGCAGTATCGAAAAATGTGATATATCGTCAAACTTTAAATTTTCAATTTTGAAAATTTCAAATTTATACCATTGCAAATTTTTCTTCATATCATTTTACGTCATATAGAAAATTCTAAAAATAATTGCTAACTATTTTGTTAGGCCGGTTCTTTACAGAACAATTAAAGATAATAGAATTGTAAATGAATGTTTGAAATGTCCACGGCTAATAGTTAGCATGTGATTTAGACGTACCGGGACCAATTAGCAGTGAGCCAATCGTGGTGGACGGTGGAAGAAATTGGCTTTCGCTCACCTGGGGAAAAGCAGATCAGCGTGGGCCAGCTCCAGTCATTGCGTACCGAGTTGACGCCTGGCAGATGGGAGGCGACGGCGGCGCTAGATGGTCTGAGGTTGTTATTTTTATGTCATCAATTCGCGCCTTCATTTATCGCAGTTTCCGTGAAAATAAGTAATACGTTTCACGACTATTCGAAATGGAATTTCGTCCGACCTCATACAGTCACGAAAGTTTGGAATTTAAAATTAAAAGCTGAAATTTTTCTAAGGTTAAAGACATTAAGTAAACTTGAAAATATTAAATTATTTTTGTAATGACATTTTCTGGTTAAGAACGAAAATATTTCGTAAATTTAAGTTTTCCTTCAATTTTGTTGATATGTAAAAATGTACAACTAAACATGATACATAAAAACCGTAGGTGTTTCATTTTATTACAAAATAATTTACTGTAATGCTTTGCATATGTATCAAAATAGCTTATTACTCTGGTGTGGAAATATTTTTGAATTGGAGGGTACCACACCACGCAATAAACAATAATGTCAAAAGTAATTTGAAACAGTTTTACGTACTTGATTACTATCAAATTTATTGCTTGACCTCGTAATAATTAATTAACTTGTCAGTTACGCGAAGACAGTGACTTAGATTTGTACTAATTTTGAAAATGTAACAGTTTATACCATGCGATATATGTTTGTTGAAAATAGCTTGGTATTACGCCAATCAATTCATTCGACGCATTCAACCTTCGACCTGGCGGCGAGTACAAATTTCGCGTCACGCCACGGAATCGTTACGGATGGGGCGAGTCTGTTACAATGAAAGGCTCGGCCACTGTAAGCAGTGATGTTGAAATTCCTGAATTCACGAGAATTCTTCCCGGACAGTTAAAGGCGCTTGCGGGTTCTACAGTCAAATTAGAATGCGAAGTAAGTACTTGTTCGGCACATTCTCGTACAATCTCATTGATAGAAATCTACTTTGTTTTTATCTTAGTTGTACGAAAATTATATAAGTCAAGTAGCTACTTTCTTCGCTATTATATAATTCATGCTTAGTAAACACACTTTTGGTTATGATATTAAAAAAAATAACGATGAAGTATATTACTCAATTGTTGCTATTGCAGATTCGAAGCGAATCGAAATTCGATGTGAAATGGTTTAAAGAAACATTGGAAATCGATAGGACGGTAAATCCTAGATATGTTATTAAAAATGAACGACGACTGTGTTCACTCATTATGGACAATATCAGCGAAAACGATTCTGGCAGATACGTTTGCGAAGTTTCTAATAAAGCTGGCAAGGTGTCGTCGTACGGGCGAGTGTTAGTTGTATATGACCCGAAAATTTTGAGTGCCGACTCTCGTCTCAAGAAAAGGTATTACAATGTACAAATCTAAATGATCTTGTTTGACCAACTAATTTACTTAATATTCTTATTGATCGTTTAAAGGTTCCTCGATGGTTTAACCGAAGACGGCCCACCACAATTTACAATGAGGTTGCGTGACAGAAGAGTTCAAACTTCTTATCCGGTCAGGTTAACATGTCAAGTTTATGGATGTCCCGAACCAGATGTAACGTGGTATAAAAATGGGAATGTAGTAATTGATACTTGTAAGTAACTCTCGAAGTGTAAGATATATTCTAACTTTTATTAAAAAATGAGCAGATTAATATTGCTATACATAGTACAACTTAATAAGACGAATATTTAATACAACGTTGTGTAAAAACAACTGCGTAAAATTGAGTTTGCGTGATTAATCACAATGTTTTTCTAATCTCAATAATTTTCTCAAGCAACTCGGTCGATCTACGTGGATGAATCGCACTTCCATACACTGGAGATTGCGCGTTCTAGTCTCGATGATTCCGGTCGATATACGGCTTGCGCCAGAAACGTCAACGGCTCAGTATCTTGCCACTGTGTTTTGGTGGTCGACAAAGGAATCCGGGCTTACATAGCACCGGAATTCCTGTACGGATTGGATGTTGCTTACGCGGTTAAAGTGGGTGGTGAGCTACGACTCTGCGCACAAATCGAAGCTTATCCCAGCGTCGGCATCGTTTGGTAAGTTTCGCTTTTTGAATATTGATGAGTAATGCTTCGTTTTGTGAATGCCTTTTGTGAAGATTTTTATGGATTTGTCAAACTCAACAATGTGATGCATCAGTTTCGTAGAGCTTCGGAGATTACCCTGTTTATTTGCATTCTTTGATATGTTTGTCCATTATATGAAACTTTTATTTTATTATTCATTATAAATAATGTTTAACGTTTCATTTTAGTGCTATCCGTTTTTATTTTAACGTGCAAAATGAATGATTCAAATTAATACTTAAAATATGGTAATTAAAGTAGCCACGTGTATTTGATTATGACTAATGAATGGTGAGATCTTTCAAATTTATTATCTGTGTTGAATAATAAATTATGTAGTTTATAATAACTCATTATATTCATTATATTAATTCGAAATACTTTATGTTTGTTTGTAAAAAAATATAGGCACCGAGATGGAATACGATTGCGGCCAAGCAGAAGAGCAGTAATGGCGCTAAGTCACGACGGTACAGTTGAACTGGTACTTGCCGGAGTAACGAGCAGAGATGCGGGCGTTTACACGTGTACAGCGACCAACGAAGTTGGCAGGGCTGAAACGACTACGAGAATATCCATAATTGGCACTGATAACAGCTTGGCTACCTCGACCGACGACTTTAAACCTCATGTCGTCGTTAATCCTCCTGATGCTGATGTTCCGTGAGTTATGATTTGCCACATGTTGAACATTTCAAATAAGTTATATTATGAGACTATTCTAGTAAATTATAATTAATATATGAATATAAAATTATTTTCGTATAAGGGTCACTGATAAATCTCTACTATGATACTGGAGCTATATGTAAAAGTACTAGTCGATTATGTTTATTTTCATTGTTAGTTAGAATTTGCATTAATTGTATCATAATTTGTAAAAAAGTATATACATATTTATACTTTAGCGAAAGATATGATTTCGATTTATGTGGTAGAATTTGTTTTTTATAAAGAAATATAAAGAATTTCGGAAAGTCAAATTCTTCAGTTCACATAAGACAGAATATGTTACAATGAATTAATTTCCCCACAGATACTCTCGAGTACCACTATTTGTTACGAAGCCCTTATCAACAGAGGCACAGGAAGGCGATACTGTGATAATTCAGTGCGAGGTCGTGGGCGACCCAAAACCCGAGGTCGTATGGTTGCGCGACTTTCTGAAGGTGAGTCTTCGCATCGCCCGAGACCAACTACGCGTGCAACGCGCCTCATTACGCGATCCGTTTTCACCCTTGGCGGCCTTGCCGAATCGAGCGACCGAGCGAAGAAGATGAAAACACGCGTCTTTGGCAAGACGAGAGATTTGCGTGCGGTCTATTGTACGACGCCCGTTTGTCACTCGCTTTTAAATAGGCTGTCACTTGCTTTTTCTTACTTATTCGCGGATGGCATATTGGAAGAGATTGACACTGCGCGAAAGTCAGATATCACTTTTGCTTGCTTTGTTACCTGTGGTGAAGAGAAGCTGTTAAAAAGCCGTTCGTTTTACGGTCGCTCGCCTATTGGTTTTGACAGTAGAAGCGCCTTTTGTAGACACAAGATTGATGATTATTTAGATGTATTTTTCATTCTTTACCACGCTATCGTATCGCCGCTCGGCGTGTAACTGTTTTTTTCAATCTCAAAACACATCGAGCTTTTGTTACGAAAAGCTAGTTGAAATTATTATGACGACTGCTAAAACTTGATTAACAAAGCATATCTTTGAGCATGTTAAAGCGACCTTAGACAGGTTGGGCGAGGGGGTGGTCACCTTTGCATCCACGCGACAGTTGAAAAGAACACGAATAAAACCAGACGCGTTTACCTGCATCAAGGAGGATATAAGGATGCATCGTTGTATAAAGCAGAGCCAGCTTTGCGTAATAAAAGGCGAAGCATGACGTGTCGCGTTTGTCGCGGACTCTAGTGCACGTTAAATGTGGGTCAAGGTGCCGAGTGCCAGAACGAGCCCGAGCAAACGCGCGAAAAAGAAATGATATTCATTATGCCCGTATTCGGTATACTCTCCGAAGTCGCGCGAGACGAGCTCGCTTTCAGCTATTCATCATCCTACCTTTTTCCTTTCGCATCTCGCGCGTCCGCCAGCTTTTCTTTTCGTCCGGACTTTCTTCTTCGACGACTGCGTTCGCGCCGCGGGCGCACAGACAATTTCTTTTTTTTTTTTTTTTTCCATTGCATTTCATACTTTACGTTTACGGACGATTTCGGTCGTTCTATGATAGCACTGAATTTGGATAAGATCAGAGGCACGTCTTTGTGGACGGTTTTTTCCCGACTGTTACGTACTGAAACGTCCAGGATGAATTTCACTTTGCTTTGGTTTGCCGATATAGGTTTCTTGAACCGCCGCGGGAACAAATATCGAAGTGGAAAATTAATTAATCAGATATTTTGAAAAATACGCGGGCGGCAGCTCGAATACAAATCATAGGATTTGCATAATACGAAATGATTATGTTTGGCGAAGTGTAAATTAAACATAAATCATGCATTAATCTCGTAGCAATAGGAGCGATTCTGCAATCTGTATTCACGCTTCATATTTGTCAGTTGTGATCGATCGTTTCTTGTATGGCAACTCTTTTGACAGCACATTCAAATTAATTACTGCACGTGTTCCCTTATATACACGTTTTGTGCCTTGCTCTTTCATGTAATTTTTGCGGATGTCAATTTTATTTTATCCGTTTGATCTTGGTGAGTTCAGCAGATCATAACATACTTTTTTGTGGCTTTTACTGCTTGGCTTTTCTTTGCAATAAAAGTACAACTTTTTATCGATTTCCGTTGCCTGACCAAACCAGAATTAGATATATTTATTTCTACGAGAGTTGTATTTTTTGTGTTGAGTTGTTTAAATATAGTTATATACCATTAAAACTATCACATAATTATAAAATTATTCAAATTTTACAATATTAAACATATTTAAGATTATCATTGATCTCAAGTAGATCATCCACTTACCTTCTGACAAAGTAAAAAATTTCATAATATAGAATATTTCAGAAATGACTGTACAATTTATTCCGTTACATTTCGAGATATATATGACTTTAAGAAGTTTATTTAGGAAAGAATTTAACTAATGCTATTCGAAATACAGTTTGCAATGGTTCCAACATATGTTAATTTTTTTCTTGCTTTAAGAACGAAACCTCACTCTTTATAAAGAAAAATATTTATTTGAAAAACATAATGCTTTTATAAAAAAATGCTCATGAAAAGAAATGATAGATATTTAAAAAAGGTTATCTATGAGTATATAGCTTACATGAAATGCAATCATTTCATGATCACAATGTTTTATTTTCATTCTCAGACTTATTCAATAAAGTTGTAAGATAGTCATTACTTTACAATAATAAAGTAAGCCGAGAAATGCACGTCAAGATTTTCATATGAAATTCCCTCGCAAAGTCATATAGAAACTTTATTTGTGTATTCACCATTAAGTTGCTATAAAACGTCTGACTTTCATGCAAATGGGCACACTGCTCATACGCGCTCGTTCACCCTGAGAAATGATTAATCCTGCGTCGCCATTAACTCTCAGACTGACTGTATATCTTTTCGTTCTTCCGTTAATAAAACACTTATTGTAATATCAGCGTTTACATGCTCTTTCAAGTGCACCGCAAACCTTCGGCCGTCGATTCGCGCAGGAAATTCTTATTAGCCTTGTCGCGCTTAGTTGGAGGAGTTATGGGTCGTCGCATCTCGACGTGATGGATGGCGCTGAACTTTGCTTCTCTTTCCTTTGTAGCGCGACCGAGCGATCGCCTTGAGCGATGAGTTACGGAGACTCGCGAGTTCGGAGCCTTCGCGTATTGAGTTAATTGAAAACCGATGATTTCTTTTAAGATCCTTAAGCCTTTAAGCCGCGAAAGAGAAATACGCGGGAATATTAAATATCATGACGTGGCATCGAAAGCGCGTTATCGAAAATTGCGGAAATTTTTAAAACAAATTTCACTCCAATTGGCGTCATTGAATTTGACCGTCGTTTTCTAAGCCAAAATTACGATCAACTTCGCTTTCAAGTTGTTTGCAAGTATGCGAGCAATAAGAAGCTGGGCTTGATGAAATACGAGTGTCTGTGAACGCCACATCAATAAAGTGTTAGCGCAAACTCGTTTGAATATTAATAACAAAAAGAAGAAATCACGCACATCGGAGTACATAATCCCCCGTCGATCGTGATGCAATAATTATATCGGCGCTCGGCAATAAAGTCAAGAGCTCTTATAAACAACTCATAGAGAAATTGATGATCGCTTAATCCGAAAATTATAATCCAAGTATACGTACGAATGTCGCTGTCAGTGTTATTGTTTTTTTTTTCGTACGGGGCAGTTGAGTACAGGAAAAACAAAAGAACAAGGAAGAGTTTACAAAGAATGTTGCAGTCTCGTCGCAATGAACACTTTCAGAAGGCATCGCGATTAATTTTATTAGCTTATCATCGGTCGATGAGTCAATTTTCTTTCTTCTCTTGCCGAGGTCGCGGAAAGACGAGCTGTTTAGTGAAGATTTATTGCTTGAAACTAAATCGAATTGGCGTATACGGTGGTAGGCGAGCTTAATTGATAAGTGGTCGCTTTACGTAACGCTTCCTCTCTTTTTGTTGTGAGCGCGGTAACAAGTAGGTGTACGAAAGCTTTTATCTCTAGCAAACGAAAGCGAGTTCGGAACGCCGCTACAAGGGACAAGTTAAATTATAACCTGTTAAGTCGTTCGGGCTTGTACCGTCGAGAATTACGAAAGTATTTTAGACTAAAACTTTGTACTCGTGCAACGAATCCATTTAACCGGAAAACAACAAGTTACTTCGAACTTTGGACTGATTGTTTTGCGACAGAACTATTATTGATTGGTCATGGCTTTGGAATGGAGCTCCGCTATTTCCGGCTGCACTTTAAGCGACTGCTGCTGGAGGAAATAAATCGAGCTTTACCCGTTGCCGCTCATATTCACTCTGTACTTGTAATCCCAGTTTTACAACAGCGCGTCTTAATAAAAAAATACCACTTCCGTGTAACGAATCGTAATCCGAAGCATTGCCACTGATCTCGCGGACAAAATCAAAAAGGTTTGCTCTTTTTTTTTCTTCTCGGCTGTCGTCGCCCCACCATTACCAGCTTTCGCTGGCTGTAGTCGCGTGTCTCGCGCGCCTAGAATAAGGAAAGAAGTAGGAGGAGGCATTGCAACGAGAATAAGAGAGAGAGAGAGAGAGAGAGAGAGAGAGAGAGAGAGAGAGAGAGAGAGAGAGAGAGAAACGGTGTCGGCGTTTTAACTCGAGCAATCGCGTGTACTCCGTTGACTCGCCCACACGTGTGTTGTATTGCCGGCACTATAATCGCGCAAGGACGCGACACCGAAGCTACGCTTAATCGCACGCGGCGGTTTTTGCGACGCGGAAGTGTGTTGTTGGTTTGTTGGTGCGCTCTTGAGGATTGTTTTCGGACGAGATGCTGGTTTTCCATACATTTGCACGGATCATGATTGTTTAGTTGGCTACGTTCCAAATGTAAGTGAAACTTCAGAGACTGTTGATTAAAATTGAAAATTAGAGATTTGCAAATTTCATGGGTACTTATTGAAAACGTTTCGATCGTTGAATTTAATTGCAATTTTAGGGTTTTATTTTTAAGCACTAATTGACTGGTCTAGTGCGTTAAACGCTATAACGTCATCTCCATTTCATGGACAATGAGTAACACTGTAGAAAAGTTTGGGAACGTTGGTTTCTAAATAGTAATTTTGATAAATTCTTTGAATACTGAATCACAATGAACTGCAAATAAAAAACTCAAGGCTCAATTACACTTTGTAACTATAATTTGCGTCTGACTCAACTAATTACTACTACTTGAAATTTTATCACGAGACCGACCGCCAAAATAAAAAAAAATTAATAATATGTTTCATATATATTATCATCTAGCTGTAAGTCTTGCAATTTTTCCTTGACCAGAACACTGATAAAAATATTTAATGATTTATCGAGTGACCAGTTTCTATACTCGATACTATACCAACATTTCAAATTAAACCATATATGTCTAAATTGAGTATTTAATTGACTATTATCGCGGCAGTGAAGTCTCGAATATTCACCCGTATTACGAAAACACGACGGCGACCCAAAAAACAACCA